ATGTAGGTATGTAGTAGGTATGTAGGTATGTAGGTATGTAGGTATGTAGGTATGTAGGTATGTAGGTATGTAGGTATGTAGGTATGTAGGTATGTAGGTATGTAGGGATGTAGGTATGTAGGTATGTAGGTATGTAGGTATGTTATGCATGCATCCATGCATGCATGCATGCATGCATGCATGCATGCATGCATGCATGCATGTACGTGTGTATGTAGGTACGTAGGTACGTAGGTATGTAGGTATGTATGGTCCCGTGTCCCGTGTCCCGTGTTCCCGAGAGCGTGAGCTTGGGGGACCATACCATTGGGGGGGGCCAGGGATCCGGAGTCCGGACTCACATATATATATATATATATGTATATATATATAATATACACATTTATCTGTATATATACATATGTAAAATACATATGTGTATGCAATAGGTACGGTATGTGTATGTATGCGTTTTTTTTTTTTTGCGGGGGTAAACACCAGCATGATCCAGGAGTTGGCCGTGGTCCGTTGGGACGGCGGGACAGAGCTGGAGGAATCCTTCAGGCGGAGGGTTGTTTAATGACGCGGCGCTGTGGAAAAGGTCAGAAAGCAATGGTTGACATGGAAATATGTAGGAAAGATAAATGATGGGATACCACATTATAATACATCATATGAATTAGTAGGATTTATTGATGAATAATGATTTTTTCTATGGTATCCCAGCAGCGGCAATGATGATGATGATCATGATGATGATGATGATGACGATGATGATGATGATATTTAGGTTGAATTTCACTTACCTGGACTTATCCGATGCTTTTCTTCAAAGTTGATTCTGGGAGCCTGATGCTATCGGCCAGCAGAATCCCAGGCAACCGGGGAGACCATCGCAAGTGCCCCCAACCGGGGTGTAGAATCTGGCCCAGGATTTGGAACAGCTATCCTCCGTGCCCGGGGCCCCTTGGGAAGGTTGGGTTGTTTTAAGGTTGTCCCTCTGTGGTTGAACTGGAACCTCTCGAAGTTCAGAGGTGGATTTTAAGTTGAAATTCAATACTCTTCAAGATCCTCAACCTTGGGTATGCCTGCATTTTTTTTGGTGTAACCCAGCATGTTCCACAGAAGGGAAACATCTCGTTGTTTGTTTTATCATCACAACTCAGGGAGGGACAAAGAAGCGTAATTGGTGATGACCGTCCCATGCTCATTGCTAGCCACGAAACAGTCCATCAAAATGGCACGACTTGGACTGGCAAGGGCTTGGGGAAGACAGACGTGTCGCTCACGCCCCAGAATAGGTAGCTGTTGTTTTGGTCAACTGTTGTCCACAAGGAGCGGCTGCCACAACAACGAAAAGGCGCACACTCTGCTCCCAGGAAAAAAAAACTGGAGAACAGAAGGAGACAAGCACAAGACCATGCACAGGGGTCTTTGAACAAAGTGCGCCAAACTGTGCAAAGCATCAAAGCATTGCATTCGGTGCTGGGCAAACCTAAAAATCCTAAAAGGTCTCATCCCAGCCGCAGCCCTGGAAGGGGCTTCAGCCAATGCAGCCCTACAAGGGGCTTTGCCAACCAACATCTCAGAGATTAATCGTGTTTCTCGCTTCACAATCTTTGCTACACAGGTCTTAGATTTACTTTTCTTGGATTGTTCTTCTTTCATTCCCTGTTTTGATGGGGGATCGGACTCATTTGAGTAAACATCAACATGTTGCTTAATGAAGATGCCATAAGATCCCCATTTTCCTTGGTCATTGGCAGTTCTTGGTGTCCCATGGTGTCCCTGTTTTGTTTTTCGCTCATTTTTCTGGGATGATCCAGCCGTTGGGCACGTTGGGCACGTCTCAAGGCCGCACGGCTCCAGCCGTGCCGGTGGACCTGGTTCTGCTGCAAGCGGCACGGAGCTTGTCCGGAGCCAGAGCTCATCCCATTATAAGTGTGTTATAAGCCTGGTTTTGTTAATGGGATAAGTGTGGGTTATGTAGGGTTGATTCACTTATAACTGGGGTTGTTCACTAAGCCACTTACTTCGATGCTCACCAGCGCAAGTAGACATGGGAGAGTCATGGGAGAATCACTGGGATCACCCAGGATGGGTTGCGGCTTTGTCCAAACATTGGGTAGGTACCAAACTTGATGGAGGACATTCCACACCCTGGATGTTAGAGTGCCACCACTTTTCAGGACAAAGCCGTGTTGACAAATTCATGGCGGAATCGTGTGATGTGTCAAGTCTTGAGAGACCTTGGTGAAGGGAAGAGTAGTTTGATGAACCATGTGTTTTTGCATTTAAAAAAGTGCAGGATAGGTATGATTAGCCATGCATTGTGGCGAGGGATGCATTGGAATGATTGGTATCCTAGCTGATAACCTTGTTGGTATAACCTGCCTTGGAAGGCTAATTAAGTGTGGTAGGCAAGAGCTACCAAGCTAGCTGGTGATTGGTACAGGATTTTGGCTCAGTTTGCTACATGTTGGGTAGCTGGGTGCTACAGTCACCGCTTGTGGGTGATCTTTGGAGCCCCTGTTGCTGTCCATTTAGCTAACTGGACTTGTTGCTGTGACCTCCCACTTAGAAAGATTTAGAAAACATGTTCACAGGTTTTTGTTTTGTGCCAGTATGCATTACAAGGTATGTTGCTTCCAGCTATGCAACTTGAGGATACCTGTGGAACTAATAATTAATATAGATAATAGATGTGGAAAATCATGGCAAATCATGGAAAATCCATGAGCATCCACCATGAATGTAGGTCGTTTCCAAGAGAAACCCATGGATTGCCATAGCGTGGTGTCAGTTTGCAGGTCCAGCACCCTGGACGTGATCCATTCGTCCACCTGGCGGCACTGTTTTCGCCACGTCCTGGGGCGGCCGCTGGAGAACCATGGCATGTTGGGGGCTGGAGGTTACGGGTTGGGTGGTCCTGAGGTCGGGATGATTGGATTTTTTGTTGCATCCTTCAGTTTTTGTTTTCTGTGGGTGGAATTGAGGTTTTTGCTCATGGAAGAAGTAGCTGATAACCAGATATTACCATGGCTTTTGATTGATGCACCTAGTTGTTCATATTTAACTGGCATGAACCAACTGTGGGCCTGAATGTAGTTTCGATGCTCACTGAGAATTTGAATTTTGTTATGTATATGTGTCCGTTTCATTTTGGATTTTCTAACGGTGGGTCCAGTACTTGATAATCTGAGATTTAAGTTAGCAATTGGACATTCGCCATTGTTAGGTGGTAATGCGCGTATTTCATAGTACTTATATGTTATATAACAGTTAAACAAATGGAGTGCAACACGTTTCAAAGAGGAATTGAACTACAAAACCTAGATACATCTAATACATCTAGACACATGATATGAGTGATTTTCCATCGTCATGTTTGACTCACAAGGTGCCTGTGCCCTCTTAGGACAGAGCTCATACAAGGCCAGCTGGTGCCTGGAGACACGGCACCCAATCCTTACCCTCTGGTAAACTAACATAGCTATTGAACATGGCCATAGAAATAGTTGATTTACCCATTCAAAATGGTGATTTTCCATAGTTATGTTAGTTTACCAGAGGGTACATATCCCTAGCGTGTGATGGTTGTGTTGCTTTTCCCCCACCTGTTAGGTGAGTCTAGATGTTGTGTCAGCTACTCCTCCACTCCTCCACACCGGACTTCATGACCCTACCGATTGCGTGGAGGGCTTTGGAATATATGTCACATTAAATTTGCCAGAGCAAATGTCAAAATATATGTATACAACATTATGCGATATATTATTTATATACTGTATATATATATATGTATATATTATTACATATGTTTATCATTATTATCATCATCATGAATATTAATTATAAATTATATATATATACACGTATGTCACGTGAATCAGAATGCTGATCAGGATAAATGGCAGAATATATGTCGGAATGTGTGTCAGACTTCATGTCAGGATAAATGTCACCATATTTGTCAGAATACATGTCAGAAAATATGTTAGAATATAAGTCCGAATATTTTTCAGAATATATGTCCGAATGTTTGCCAGAAGATATGTCAGGATAAACGTCCCAGTATTGGTCAAGATTCTAGTTTATTACGGTGGGGATCGCATGAAGGGAAGTAATTTAATATCGTTGTGTGAGTAACATTGCGCAGCCTCCGGGTCTGCTGCTCACTGCTCTTGGCAGGCAGGAGGCAAAAGAGGGGAAATGTACAATCATTATGTATATATACTGTAATTATACACGATTATACATACATTATGTAATCAGTATGTATATTCGATGTCATTTTGTTGGGTTGAATAGTCTGAAGTCTGAACTGAATCGGTGGGAATCGCTCTCCCCAGCCCTTGGGAGGGGAGTGTTGTGAGCGGCAGAAAAAATTACTTAAATGAATGGCACTATTTTTCTGATCCAGATATGAACAGGTTGCACTTTAAGTACATACTTGTATTTGTCACCCAACTATGTGCTACTTTTCATCCAACTATGTGCTCAAAATTGCCATAAATCAAGAAAGGCAGGTTTTTATTCAGAAATTATTGGACATCTAGTTCCATGCAATTCCCATGCAAAATCTTATTAAAATCATATTATATTTATTGTTTAAGAATCTCCTTGTGAAATATGTTGTTCTTATTGAATGCAATTAAGTAAAGACATCAGAGTCAAAGAGCCATAAATGATCATAAATGTAAATGCACACAATTCAGGAATAAGCATATTGAAACATATGTGCATCTTAATATCCTTGAAATAGTTTCATGAATCCTTCCAGTATCCCTTGCAAGATATATATGTTTTTTTCTAAAAAGATGCAGGGCGTCCCTAAAGATGTACAGCCTTCCATTTAGGGGCAAACATGTTTCTATAATATGTAGCATGAATTTAAGATAGTGCATTCCTGTTCTAAACAATGAAGTATCCCCAGCTTATAAAGAAGCATTTTCATTAAATTGCATTTTTCCTTTGAAAAAGTACAATGATTTTTTCAACAAGCAATACCCCTACAATTATGAAGAAATCCTCAAACATCTAAAAGATGCAGCATTCGTTTCTGAGAAAGCGAAACCTTTTTTCCACATGATATCCCTTCAAATAGGCAATATTCCTGTGCCATATGTAGCATGCTTTTCGATTTACAACCATCCCTTTAATATACAGAATTCATGTCAAAAGTGCGATACCCAATGCATCAACACTATAGTCCGTGAATATCACGTCAAATGACTATGTTCACATTTTTCAAGGAAACTATACTCTTTTGATAAAAGGAACGCTACAAACACAAAATAATTCCATCTTGAAATTTGGAATTATGTTTTGATGTCTGAGGAAATCTTGCACCCTTTTCAAAGAGATGATGCACTTTCTTGAAGGATTATATATATGTATATATTCCAGATAGTTATACATGTTATAAACATTCACTTCACAGAATGCCATGATCACAAAAGAACACCATGGTGTATATATATATATATACATATGTGTGTGTGTGTGCATATATATATATATATATAAGTGGACCTTAATTTGAAATGGTGTTGGAATCTGTTAGCAGAAGGCGCCATACTTTTATGAAATTGTATACGCATTGAAGGTCTATTTCAGACCATTACTGCACTCTTTTCAAAGATATTACACTTTTTCAAAGGGAATGCACAAAGTCAGGCCACACTTTCTGTAAGGAATATCACCTTCTTTGAAAAATAAGACCAGGGCGAGCATCTGATTTTCCAAATTTGGAGACAAGAAGGCCGGAACTAGCCGGAGTCATGATGTAGGACGTTACGAATCCAGATTAATTAATCAGGATCATACCAAAACCTCGAGAAAACCGAACAAACATGACAGGGCAAGACCGGACACAGACGCAGAAGCAGACAAGCAGGCCCGAGCTAAGAGCCGGAGTCAAGCAAAAAGCCAGGGTTGTGATGTATGATGTTATGCCAGTGATTAATCAGGATTAATCCAGATTAATCATTATTAATCTAGAACCAAAAAACAAAAAAAACAAACATAAACAAAAAACAACTAAAAAAAAGATTTGGCAACTAGTCTAGAGGTCAGAGTAGTTGTGGAAACATTGTTTTTTTTTGTTTTTGTTTTGGTTCTTCTAGATTAATCATGATTAATCTGGATTAATCTGTGCAGTCAATGCAGAGAAGTGAAGGCAGATGTTGGAAACAGATGTGTGTAATTGGACAAATGTAGGGCAAATGTAGGCAGATGACTGATGTAGTGTAATTACGTGGTGCCGTGACATGTGTCAGAAACGATTCTTGTGAGGGCAAGCAGTAGGAAATTATTCTGATGAAACTTTTCTTCCCCAAAACTCGCCGTAGAATTTACGCTTGTTTTTCACTCTGCAGAGTTGGACGTTTTCAAGCTGGAAATGGCTTCAAACGTACACATATATATATACACACATATATATATATACAATATATACACTGTACCACCTTGATTTAAGAGCCCAAGATTGACCGCATAGACTTTGGTGAATGATTTTGAATCAGCCGTTTATTCTCCTCCACCTTCTAGGAGCCTGTGCTCTGGTGTAGATGGCCCATTTATAGAGGGTTTACCTTAAAAACATGGTGATTTTCCATGGTGATGTTATGTTTTCAGAGGGTACATCTCCAGAACAATCAGAACATGCGTGGTCAGACCCAATCCTAGTTGTAGTGCCACTGGCAACTTCATACGAGTCTAGTTTGATATGCACTTTGCGACCTGCATGTAGGCTAGAGGATCTCTTGTGACATGGGTGATCATTGTACCATTTTTTTCATTTTTTCCACTCACTGTAAACATTTTTTCGCACCCTTTTACCAAATTGACATATCCAAAATTATAACAACAACAACAACAACAGTTGGTCACCATTAAGCACAGAAACCTCGGAGTGAGCAATTCTTTGTTGCATTTTTTTTTTGATATGAGGAATTATTTCCCAAGAGTGACAAACTTGAAACAACGGATTGGTTCAAGGGAAAACCTACAGGAAATCATGGTCTTCACAATGGAAACATGAATCTATCCTATAGATTTTCCTTTAACCCATCCAAAATTTTAACATCTCCAGCCAGAGGGTTTTTGTAGATGTTTATGTAATTTTATATATACAGTACCACCCATTCATATCCATAGTGAATATGGAGCCACTTCCCCCGGTCCGTCAGGCACGGGGCCGTCCGCTTCGTCCTCGCGCTCCGTACGCAACGGCGTCTTCCGCCGACTCCTGAGCGACTTGGACAGCGAGATACCTTGGTGCCATGATTAGATGTTTTTTTGATAGAAAAACAAACATAGAGTACACACACGCACAGACACACACGCATAATATATATATACACACATATTATATATATATACATATTATATATACATAATATATATTATATATATATATACATATTATATATATACATATTATATATACATTATTTATATATATATATTATAAAATAATGTGTATACATATTATATATATACATATTATATATACATATTAAATATATATATATATACATATTATATATACATTATATATATATATATTTAAAATAATGTGTACACATTATATATATATACACATTATATATATACATATTATATATATACATATTATATATATATATATATATATTTTTAAAATAATGTGTATACATATTATATATATATATTATAAAATAATGTGTATACATATTATATATATATTATAAAATAATGTATATACATATATATATATATATTATAAAATAATGTATATACACATATATATATATATTATAAAATAATCTATACATATATATATGTATATATATTATAAAATAATGTATATATCTAATTATACATTATACATATACATTATTTATTTATATTTTCACATATAAACTATACAATACTATACATACACAATTATATACCATCATGTGTCATTAGTTGTCATGATATAGTACATCGTCATAGGATTTTTTAGATTTGTATAAGTATATACTATCATCTATCACCTTTTATTATGATCCCGGAGTACCACCATCAACCCCTCAAGGCCGTTTCAGGTCAAATTTTCTTGGACCAGGCTTCGACCCGAGGTCGTTTCTATGCAGGTGACTTTATGGCAGACTACGATGCGTTTTTCTTTATGGCTGCTGAGCTGTGAATTTATGAAGTGCCGGGAAAATCCGGAAGGCCGGAGCAGCAAGCCGGGTATATCACAAAAACGATGATGATCTAGTAAGGCCCAACAAGATCGAATGTCAAGTAACATCCAATCCTAAAACACTGATAACTGATGAATACTTATGATAAACACAAAATACTTAAGATAACTTATATGTACATTTTCTATGTTTTTCTATTGTTTTTAGAGTCACTTATAGACTTATCACATCATTTTCATCTCATTTTCCAACCGAGGAGATCGACGCCGTCCCGGTTCGAGCTTGGTGGATCGAGCAGTTGCTCCTCGAGACGGTCGAGACGAAAACGGCCACGGCCAGCGCCATTCGTGGCAGCGGCTACAGAGGCCTGGAAGTGCCCAAGATGTGATGTTAGTATATGTTAGTTATAATGGTGTTATAATGGTGGTATAATAGTGGTATTATACCCTCCGGTAAATTAACAGTTGGACCATGAAAATCACCAATTTTTAGTGGAAACTAATCTTCCAACCCCGAAAAACGGCAGGGTCTATGTTAATTTACTGGAGGGTATAAGTGAGTTACAATACACACATATGTCATATGTCAACAATATTTAATCTATTAATGGTTAGGAACAATGTATGTATAACCAACACTAACAATTGGTTCACCCCCCAAAAAAATGGTTATATATACATGATATACTGGTTATACTTTGGGTGAAGCAACTGGAAACCAGGCTTATTCTCCCGTCGATGATACTAAATAGTATACCACACCGGCCCATCTAGTTTTCTTGAAAGGACAATATAGGTGGTAGTTTGATGGGATTTAACCAACAACTATGGGGATATATTGGGAGCATAATAGGCATATCACTAATACTAAGCATCTATGTAGTATACCTTCTATTAGTGACTAACAGTGGCCAACAGTTTGCGAACTGGAAAATCACCATTCAAATCATAGGTAAATGATTATCAGTGGTATCAAGGATATCTTAGGACTTTTTGAACCGAGCCCGTTGCCACCAGTGTACAATTCATTCAGTATTAGTGCATCCCAGTTGGAAAGTGGTTGACAACCCACACACACATATATATATATATAACTGGGGTATACTGGGGTATATCCCAGATATGACTGGGTTAGAATATGATTTTTTACTCACTTACTAGCTGGGATGCACATTGAAGTAGTACTTGTTGGTGCTTGATAGACCCTCGATAAACAAACCAACATCAACCAACTATTTTGGCAGAGTATCCCAGTTGGTAAGTGGTTAATAGCCCACATTAACATACATTAACCACATAAGAATGGGTACATTGGTTTGTACTCAGGAACTGGGATGCACATCAGGGATCCTGCTGAGCTCATCGATTTTCGGGCTCTAAGAGTTGTGCTCAGCAAGACCTCAATGAGTTGCAGCTTACACGAGTTACATTTCTATTTTCTCTTCTGCACACATATTAAATAATAATTAAAACATAATATAATATAATTAAATCATCTATAAATGGGCCATTGAGACATATTTATACCATAGCTATGTAGTATTGCCCATCCAAGGCCATCCAGGGTTTTTGGGACCCAGGAGATCTCTTCGAGGACGGACCTTTTAATGGCGCCGAGAGGTTGGAGATTCGGTACGTCAATGGCAGCCCAGCCTGGATCAGTGTAGACCTTCCAAGAAACTCACATGGGTAGCTGGGAAATTTTCTGAACTCAATGGAGGTTTCAAACTGGGAAGTCTCTTTTTTAATGGAGGCTTCTAGCTGGGAAAATCCAAGTTGTTTGGATTGCCAAGGTTGAAAGGCCGAAAGTTTATACCTTGCAGTGAACTCACATAACTGTTGGAAAATCCACAATGAACGTCGATCATTTATGATCCATTTTTACCATGGAAACCCATGAACTTGCATGTAGCTATGTGAAGAAAACTGGAGGGTAATCCGCTATATATATATATATGTGTGTGTGTATATGTATATATACATATATGTAATATCAAGGTTGCTCCAACCAGAGATGAATCATAGCCACTCTTCGGAAGTAATTTTACCTGTTGATTTACCCAATTGAACCCCACAAAGGTGGAGTGTCGGAGCAATCCCGTCCTGTTTTCTTCACAGCCGATGGCTGGATGTTGTGAAGATGGATGAAGATGGTAAGATGGTGAAGGTAGGGAGCTCGCTGACGCTGACAGCCTGAGGTAATGCCATCTACAATTTGCGTCATCCCTGGCTGAGATGGTTGCATTCCCAGCTGGAGAAAGAAGCATCAGAAGTAGACTCTTGGCCGCAGCGTTGCCATAGGAAGCCGCAGCAACTGGGCAACGTCCATGATCCAGAAGTGGTATGATCAACTTGGAATGAGCGACGAGTTGGAAAGACTGATTCCGAATTGCCATCATCTCCCAATCTTCATCTTTAAATAATTTGAATCATCAATACCTTACAGCTTGTGATGATATCCATCCCACTGGGCTCAAAAGAAACATCAAAACCATCCAAAACCATCCAAAACCATCCAAAACCACAGAGGCTACGCAGCCTTCGGATCATTCAGGCACTGGCATCCATAGACTTCGACGTGAGGATAGGAAACCTGACGATGGAGGCACAAAGAGGCACAGATCGTTGTGACCGGGATCCTCTAAGTATTGGAACCCTTGGGTCCTCAGAAAGCTGAATTCTCCCAGTGAACCATCCGATTCTGGACGATGAATCGGGTCTACGTTTGACCGTACCCTACTTGGATGTGCATGTCAGGAATCGAAGTGGTTTATATATAATCCCTATGCAACTGGAATACAATGAAATACATGCATGCATACAGACAGACAGGTATACATACATTACATTAGATACTCTCCCTCTCTCTCTCTATATATATATTATAAAGAATTATAAAGATTTTTTTAAATATAAATTTAATGTAAATATATGTATGTAACTGGGGTATAAGTATACTATAAGCCCTGTACGATTCCCGGAGATCCGCCAGGCTCGTCCAGCTTCAGGGACATCTATTCTGCGTTGGTGGCTCCGGGCGAGGAGCCGTATCGAAGTGACTCCAGGTTGATAGGTGCCTTGGTGATGATTCATGTGGGAAAACCCGCCAAAAAGTGATGGTTAGTAATGCTCAAGAATGGTTCATGGTTAATAATGGGTATATCGGCAACGACAACAATGATAATACTAATAATACTGTAGATGAAGAATGGAAGGCTGGAAAAATGTGGGAAGGCCAATGCTATGCATAAACCTACCTACCTTTGGGGGATGAATTGTAGATGTTTATAATTAGCACCCATATGAAAGAGGGGAGTTTTGGGGACATTATTAGACAAGCAAGATCATTCGACGAGTATGATATCAGACATTCAACAATATCCAGGATGATTTATTTGGGCATTCATTTGAACATTAATGAAAAATCTAAGAAAAGGCATGTGTTGCTGATTGGATGATTGGTATTTTTGATTATTGGCTCATTGATGTTCGTTGATGATTGTATCCACAATTACTTACTCAGCCCTAGTAATTTGGACATATTGTGGAGTTGCCTTTGGTGCGAACCATTTCAGATACCTACTTATGTCATATACCAACTCAGGTACCATCACAGTACGTAGACTCTGCTTTTTCTAAAGAACATGTTTTGCCCTTTCGCTTCCAGTGCTGGGCCCAGTAGAAGAACACTCATCAGCCATTTTCAATCAGACGATCCTAGAAAATCATCGGCGACCAAGGAAGTTTTGGCAATGCCTTGCTGAATCAGAGCTGCTGAGCCAAGCAACAATTTGTGATGATTCCTGGGATAGGATCGGAAATATTGCATGTTGATAGTGTGTATGTATATATTATATATATAATATATATATTATATAATATATATATTATATATATATATATTATATATATTATATATATATTATATATTATATATATGTGTGTGTGTGCGTGTGTGTGCGTGTGATACCCATCCACAATAGAGGCAGTACTACCATGGCGCATGTATATGCTTGTGCATCACCACGTGTGCGTAAAATCACCAACGATCGAGCCAACAAAGTGCCAATAGAGATGGTTCGTGACCTGGCTTCAAATGGGTGGAAAATAGGTAATCCCCAGACTGGCCAGCTTGTTTCCCTCAGAAATATGGATGATTTTCAATCACTTTCAGTTCCGTTCCTTCCTGAGACAAACAAGCAGCTGGACGAGAAAGGTGTGGCAGATACTTTGACACCATATATAGGCCATGTTTCAGTTCCATATTAGGTTCCAATGGTCTACATGCACAAATCTCAAGGGATACACTGTTTTGGATCAGCACCATGATCACTTTTGGGTTCCCTAAACTTGATGAAACTTGGTGAACACCAGCCAATCACCGCCTTCGCAAACCTCGTTTATTGATCTTCGCCTGGCCTCTGCCAAACAGAGCCTGAGTTTGTTTGGAAGAAGGTGTGATGTGTGGAACTGTGGAAGCATTGAGGACGCCTTTAGTGGAAGGCAGCAAATTGTTTCACGCAAATTCAAGGAACAAATCAAAAGGAATGATATATTTTTTCCAGAATTGGTTTGAAGATCTTTGAAGGAAGGTTTACCTTGAGGGGCTTGTATCACCCTGGATGGATGATAGATGGTCATTGCTACACACGTTCAATGTTGCAGGGGTTAGGTGGATTTACCACACGAGCCACTCAGGCTTCGAGAGCAATGTCTATGTGCGACAAGTTTCCGTCAACAACATCCTTTACAACTTGGAGGACACACTGGGACCATTATCTTGCATGCCCTTGAGAAACCTTGGTTCAGTTAAAACCATTTCTTTCACAGACAAGACAACATTTTTTCTGGCTGGTGGTTTCAAAAACGGTTATTTTGTGCATGCACATTTGGGATGGTGATGCCCATTGACGAGCATATCATTCAGATTCATTCAGGAAATTGAAACCACCGACCGGCCAATTGTTGATTTATAAAATCGCCACATGAGTGTGCCTGAAAATCTTTAGGCCATCGCCAACTATGTGATGGCTTGGAAAGTAATCTTCTTTATTGACATGGTCATTTGAGGGTATTCCCTCTTTCTTTTTCCGGACAGGGCGCATATCCCCACTGTTTGTTCATGCAGCCCTGGAGGTAGTTGTATCCCGATGGTTTCCCTCCCCAAAAAATGTAAGTCAAAGTTGTTGATTGGTTAATGCCATCATTGTTGATGGTTAAATCCTCAATGTTGATAATTGTTGCTGGTTATGTTACGTATACTGTTAATATATATATATATGTGTGTGTGTATATGTATAGGTGTACATATATATATATATATAGGTGTTATATATATATATGCATTATACAGTACATATATCCTTCCGAGTTTTCAAGGTTGGTGGTAAACTCCCGTAGTTCTTGGTGAAATCAGTGAAATCATGCAATTGAACATCTCCCATTTGCATTTATAGGCCCATAGAGGATTTGTCCCTGCCATGATTGAGTACCTAAAGGTAAATCCCAATGTTTCTTAATAATGGGTAGGATATCTGTCTATTCTATCTAATCCTGTTCTATCCCATAAATCCTTCAAAACACATCTTAATAATTCTTAAAACCTACTGATCTACTGTATCTCTCCAGGATCTCTTGGTGAATTCCATGTTTTTTTCTGCAAAAATAAGGCCGACAGGCTCCACGGCTCCCAAAATTCTGGAGGATCGCCTGACCTTGAGCATCGCTGCGTATGGGGACGAGTCACTCGGCCAAATCTCCAATAATTGTTCTATCATGTATACATAATATATATATATGTATGTATAATATATCTATCTATCTAGTGACGGGAAAGAACACCTTTGATTTTCTAATTTGGACTATATATATATATATTTACATATACATATCTTAACGATGGTACTTTCAGATTTTGACCCTTTCATTCCCATAGTTGAAATGATATAAATATCAGGCTGTATGTAGAGGTAGCCCATTTCAAGTTCTTGAGAGCCTCCATGGGCAGGTACCAGGAGCTGTATGCCAGCGTTCAAGCGACTCATCCTTTCAGGTGCGGCATCCGTGGGATCCGATACATTGCATAGAAATAGAAACACATTGACATGGATTTGTCCAATTTTTGTGGATATTGCCATTTTGTGGATTTATTCCCATTTTTGTGGATTTATCGCTCGATTTATCCCAGAAGTGGTTTTAGAGCAATTTGGCCGGAAAGCCCCATTTGCCTGACTATGTCTGATTGGAAGAACATGGAAAAACTGTACATCTATGTTTCCTTAAGCCAATTCGGTGAATCTAAAACCAACCGTACAAAATTAGTCAAGAATCGTCATAATATCATGCGGATGCGCTGAATAATGATATTCTACAGTTTGTCCAATAATTTCGATTTTACAAAACCATCAAACATGGTTGCACATTAAATTCACCATATCTATATAATTGATGGGATAGAGTCAGTCAACATGATGATATGGTTTTGTCTCAAATACTGGGAAACAATGTCGTGGTTGAGCATATCATGTGCTCCAACTTGAAATCAGATCGTTATACTGTATATTCGTAAGTTCTTTGCTATTTTGGTACCCCAAAAAAAATGATTGGCAAAACCTCGTCAGACCCGAGACCCTGTTTTATGGTTGACAACACATAGGAGGTTATCAAAATTGGGAACCCCCACTACTGAGTAGACTGAACACACACACACGCACACATATATATATATATAACTTGGGGATTTTACACAACTTTCAAGAGGACAGTTTGACCTCAGATGTTGCATCTTTGCGGTCCACGGCAGGAGCATGCTGGTCATGTCTTATGGCCACACCCCGGTGCGACCGGATGCTTCTTCGGAGTTGATCCTCACAGCCAACGGGGCCACAGAGGTTCAGTTCCGAAGCGCACCTCGTTGAGGTTAGTCAAGCTTTGTGAAGGATGCTTGGTCCATGATTGTTATACCGTTATACCCCTGTTGGTTATGAAATAACGGATGATTCCAGTCTACCTGGTTTAATGGGGATTGTGATCCAACAGATAGTAAGGTAATTAACCTATCAACTATTTCATAAGATGGGATAGGGGTATTTTTCATGGCTCACTTATTGGTGGTCGTTTTGTTTGGCCATATGCACGTATTTGTTTCCATTTTTTTGTTGTCCTGATTTTTGTAGTTTGGTGGGGTCATATTGATTTTTAATGATAACATGTCGGAAATTAATTTTATTCAAAGATAACATTTTCTTGTAGAAGGCAACTCAGGCAGTCTACCAATGTCCAAGCATGTAAAGGGCACGTAAGCCGGGGCACCCCCAACTCAAGAATGGCTGACTACTGTCTTGGATATATAATAACAACAACATATATGGTGCGCATTGCCCCCATATTTTGATATACTTTGCGCATAGCTTGGGGCAAGTGACTTTGGCTCTTTCTAGGGCCGGCCTGGATTGAGGCTTTGAACAAAAACCGGAGGCATTTAGCTCCTGGACGGCACTGGGATCTAGCTGAGGTCCACTGCGGAATTGTCCACGTTTGATGACACCGAAGGGTAACCGAATTTTTGGTCCTACATCCCCGGGCAAACCCTCTGGAAGCCCTAGCAAAAAATGGTTGCTTATACTTATAAATACCAACATCCATTCCCTATAAATACTTATAAATTATACCTATAATTACTACACATTCTTCTATGGATGTGGATGATTGACCATTACCAATAAATTTATTGAATACACATGGATTACGAAATATTAATTTATTGGATGTTAGTGGATGATGAATGGATGTTGATATCCCATTGACATTGATTGCCTGGAGAATTTTCTGCGCCCGATCCCAGGCTGTTTGCGACATGGCCTCCGTGATCACCACGAAATACTTCGCAGCGGCCTCAATGGAGAACTTCGGATGATCAATGATTTGTCAATAGAAGGACTTGGAATGAAAACCTGAAAGTTAATGAACATGAAGCGTCATGAACCATCCCCAAATTTCTTGAAAAACGATATGAACAGATATGACACATGGCATAAATAAGGATTTGCCATGTCTATATATATATATATACTTGGATGTTCCATTTCAGAAGTGAAATCAGAAGCTCCGGAGACTTGGAGCAGGAGCACTCCATCGCGAGCACAGCCGACACCGTCCACATAAGAACTGGTTTGTTGCTTATGTGCCTGCGTACATGTACAACACATAGATAAAATATGATAAAATATATAGAGTTGTTATGAAATATAAATTCAGAAACGCATATAGAAATACACATAGACATATAGATATAGATAGACAGCTATGTTACACGGAAAGAAATCAAACATAGATACTAGATATGCTGGTGCATGTGTGATTTCATACTGGAGGTCCCTTTAACTCTTATTTCCACCATGGCTCTGGCATCGTTTTGGTCCCTGAACTCTTGGTTCTGCAGCATCCGAGGTCTTTTCCGATACGTATCATCTCATTTCAGGCTGGGCGACTTACAGCCACCTCACTAGCCGAGCTCAACATAGATCAGGTGACCATGGGGAACCACCGTTGAATTTGCGACAATTTGATTATGGCCATTCCCATAGGATCCATGTATGGTATATATGCTAACATTTGGGGTAAATTGATGGTAAATGTTACCATATATGGCATACATGGATCCTATGGGATTGTTAATACTAAACCATCTAGTTTTGGGATACTTGATTTTGACCCAAAACCATCTCAACTCCGGTGACACTGTGCAAGTTTTCCGTTTTCCGGATTCATTGAATTCATGCTCTGGTGCGCCAACCGTATGAGGGAAATTCCTCCGGATTTGTGTTCCCATTGCCATCAAGCGCTGGGCGATGGAGATTTGGAGAATGGTCGCAGCAACATTCTCACAACATAACATCACTGAGTAACTATGTTTCAAAACATGCCTTCTGAATCCTTCTGACAGTTTTGCTTCCCTAACAGCTTCTGAAGCTTCCGAATTGCTTTAGTATGCTTTGGTCACTTTGGTGACTATAGTGGCAACCTGCGGGAGCCCAGAAGCTGGGGATTATTAAAGTCCCTAAGTGAAGTGGATAGGTCCCAGGCTGGCACTTCAATGATTCGCTCGTTTCACAGTTGTTGGTTCCACTCATTTGATGCTTCAAGCACATCCATGGGGAAAATGATGAAAATGGGGAAGGTAACTTAACTGTGGCACATCCAGAACAGATATCAATGCATCCGAATTGTTACGGGGCCCGGCCCACCCACTTTCCAATGCGGGTCGCTCGTGCAGGTCCAACTTATGCACTGTCAGACCATGAAGGTTGGAGAGCAGACACTCTCTGCGGACGTGTGTTGAAGTATGAATTGTGCAAAGTGTGGAAGCACTTGCGGTTGGTCAATCTAGTGCATGCACTATAGATATGATATGATGTGATGTGATATGACATCTGAGCAAATTACAGTGACGTCACACGACCTCACTTGAAATTTGACCTAGGTACCGAATTAAGCTCGTGATGTGCAAGTGAACTATGAGGGTGCTGATTCGATGTTTTTCCACTGTCAATGTTCTTCTCCTGTGCCTGCATCCTTTTTTCTTCCCTTGAGATGTAAAAAAAATCCTACCGCAGTGCCGTAGGCTGCTTTTCCTTCTAGCCCTCCCCCACCCCATCCAGAGCCGTAAAAATTCCTACCGCAGTGCCGTAGGCTGGCTTCCCTCCTAGCCTTCCCGCACCCCATCCGGAGACGTCAAGATTCCTACCGCAGTGCCGTAGGCTGGCTTCCCTCCGAGCCTTCCCGCACCCCATCCGGAGACAAGATTCCTACCGCAGTGCCGTAGGCTGGCTTCCCCCCTAGCCCTCCCCCATCCCATCGGAGATGGAAAGATTCCTACCGCGGTGCCGTAGGCTGGCTTCCCTCCGAGCCCTCCCCCACCCCATCCAGAGATGGAAAGATTCCTACCGCAGTGCCGTAGGCTGGCTTCCCCCGAGCCTTCCCGCACCCCATCCGGAGACGTCAAGATTCCTACCGCAGTGCCGTAGGCTGGCTTCCCCCCTAGCCCTCCCCCATCCCATCGGAGATGGAAAGATTCCTACCGCAGTGCCGTAGGCTGGCTTCCCTCCGAGCCCTCCCCCACCCCATCCAGAGATGGAAAGATTCCTACCGCAGTGCCGTAGGCTGGCTTCCCTCCTAGCCTTCCGGCACCACATCCGGAGAGGTAAAGATTCCTACCTATTGGGTGAGTCTGCACGTCTTCTGGGAGCACGACCTCATATTTTCATTAAGTCACCACGACCTTGCTTAATTCCATACCTTGAAATATGAAATTCGACCCACGACCCGTGAAATATAGTAATTTGACCAGATGACATGTATTGATATGATATGATATCCTAAACTACACATAGGCATTTAATGAACTTGTGATCATGTCCATACATGGGCCGATATACTGGGGATCCATGAAGCAATACTGAATACTTCTGCTGCCTAGATGCCCGGCATCGGTTGGCTTCGCCTTCTCATGTACACAGAAGTCGTGTTTGCTCGTGTTTGGTGCATTGCCATAGTTGTTACTTGAAGAGACCTATAAACTGTATTGATCTTATGTGCATTTTCTAGACCATAATCCAAATCCAAGCGTAGATCGAAATCACCTGTCTAATATTATATACTAATAATTACTAGTATAATCTATATATATATATATATCATTAATATATCATTAATTGGAATCGAAATCTAATCGCGACAGTACATGACAATATAACATCTATATAATCACTATAATCTATCTAATGATCGCTGTCTATGTCCCAGCCCCATTCGTTTGTCCAAAATTTCGGCAGCATCCTGCCAGGTCGACCTGTGCTTCCCTTTATTGAATCTACATCCAACAACTGCAACTCGAGGTGCAATTGGAATCATTATTTTGGTACTTTTATACCCATTACCATTACTGTAGTATTGGCATGCTCTAGTTAATGGCACCCCCGGATTAATAACCCCCAGCAAAGGTCAAGAAGGTCAACCAAGAAGGTCCAGTCAGGGGATCAAAAACCCAACCCCCTTCAAATAATAAACCTTTCACTCATCAATGAACCAATGTTGCTGGAATTAGGTTGCACATAAGCACGGATGGAGTGTCAATTCTATGGGAACTAGCTGCATAGTAGCATCCATGAGCGGTCAAATTTGATGAACTCAGGACTCAGTTATGAATTAGTGTCCATGAAGGGTTGAATGAGTTAAATTTGGAGGAAATTAGCTGGAATTCGGAAATGACCATCAATAAGGTATCAATTTTGATGGAAACAGCTGCGTGGTAGCATGGATGAGGGGACCATTTTAATGAAATTAGGTTCACACTAACATCCGAGGGGATTCTATTGTTTCAATGAACATCAGCTTGGGAGTACCGTCCATAAAGGGTTAAACCGCATCAATGTTGATGAGATTAGCTGGATATCAGCATTTATGAGGGACTTCTTTGATGAAATGAGCTTCACATTAGCATCCATGGGGGCTCAATTTTTGTTAAATCAGCTTGGGATTAATTAATTAGCATACATACAGGGTCACATGGGGTCAATTTTGAGACTGTCCGAGGCCGGGTGGGTTTATTGGGGGGTGTTCGCATCGTCTATTTTGGGGGGCACACAAAGGGCACACCGCTCAAGGGGGGTACCCTTTCCGAGCTCCCGGAAATGTTTTATATATAAATGGATTTTATAATTGGAAATCGATCATTTTGGGAGATATAGTTTTTTTCATTTTTTTGCGTCTTGAAACTGACAAATCAGCAAAATGCTGCTGGGTGGATGAGGAAACATAAGGCGATGGATGTAATTAAGTATTGCACATGAGCTGCGCATAGGGAAAAAATCGAGGCCATAAGATTGCTGGCTGCATCAGCAGGATGGTGCTAATCATGAGAAACATGCACCTGGACGGTAAAGTTTAAATAAAGGTTGACAACATCCCCCAAAATTGCTAAACGGCCTTGGTTTACCGCCAAAGTTCCAGACAACTACCCGCTACCCTGGTTGCCTCCAAAATTTTCTCGCTTGTACCTCCGTTTTTTTCTCGCTTGTACCTCTCTTATAGTTACCACAACTACTATGAAAGGTTAGATAAAGAGTTAGATTGTAGATCATGGCATTGTGGAAGGCAAGGGGGGGAACTTTAAATAACAAGCATGGCATTGTGGAAGGCAAGGGGGGAAGTTTAAATAACAAGCTAGAAATTAGATGAAAGTTTAGATAAAGAGTGAGATTTTAGATCATGGCTTTGTGGAAGGCAAGGGGGTGAAAGTTTAAATAACAAGCTAGAAAATAGATGATAGTTTTGATAAACAGTTAGATTTTAGATCATGGCATTGTGGAAGGCAAGGGGGGGAAGTTTAAATAACAAGCTGGAAATTAGATGAAAGTTGAAATAAAGGTTTCGATTGTAGATCATGGCATTGTGAAGGCAAGGAGGGGGAAGTTTAAATAACAAGCTAGAAATCAGATGAAATTTCAGATAAAGAGTTAGATTGTAGATCATGGCATTGTGGAAGGCAAGGGGGTGAAAGTTTAAATAACAAGCTAGAAAATAGATGATATTTTTGATAAACAGTTAGATTTTAAATCATGGCATTGTTGAAGGCAAGGGGGGGGAAGCTGAAATAACAAGCTAGAAATTAGATGAAAGTTTAGATACATAGTTAGATCGTAGATCACGGCATCCTGGAAGGCAAGGGGGGGAAGTTTAAATAACAAGCTAGAAATTAAATGAAAGTTTAGATAAAGAGTTAGATCGTAGATCATGGCTTTGTGGAAGGCAAGGGGGTTAAAATTTTCAAGAAAGAATTAGATTTTAGATCATGGTATTGTGGAAGGCAAGGGGGGAAAAGTTTAAATAACAAGCTAGAAGTTAGATGATAGTTTAGATAAAGAGTTTGATTCTAAATCATGGCATTGTGGAAGGCAAGGGGGAAGGAAGTTTAAACAACAAGCTAGAAATTAGATGAAAGTTTAGATAAAGAGTTAGATTTAAATAACAAGCTAGAAATTAGATGAAAGTTTAGATAAAGAGTGATATTTTTAATCATGGCATTGTGGAAGGCAAGGGGGGGAAGTTTAAATAACAAGATAGAAATTAGATGAAAGTTTAGATAAAGAGTTAGTTAGATTTGAGATCATGGCTTTGTGGAAGGCAAGGGGGGGAAGTTTAAATAACTAGCTAGAAATTAGATGACAGTTTAAATAAAGAGTTAGATGTTAGATCATGGCATTATGGAAGGCAAGGGGGGGAAAGTGTCAATAAAGAGTTAGGTTTTGGAATTAAAGAGCGTGGACATTTTGAATCAAAAGCAAGATTTTATAGTAGGTGCAAGTGAGAAAGTAGTGAGGCGTAAGTGAGAAGGAAGTGGAGGCGCAAGTGAGTAGGTCGGAGGCGCAAGTGAGTAGGTCGGAGGCGTAAGTGAGTAGTGGAGGCGCAAGTGAGTAGGAGGTACAAGTGAGAAAATTTTGGAGGCGCAAGTGAGTAGTATACCCTGGTTGGCGGGGTGACGGGAAGGTGACAGCCTAAACTAAACATGGTGAAGGAAAGTGAAACTGTGTGAATTCGATGTCTTGCGAGTCATTCATTCCGGCAAAAAAAACTTACAGATCTTACAGTACAGACACACGGTTCAAACGGCCGATGACTTGCAGAACAAAAAAGCATCCTTCATCTGGAATACCCCCTAGCACTCCTGGCCTGGTCATCGATCATTCCCTTTCTGAACTTTTTCTTCAGCAGTTTGCGCCAAAAAACAACGTGACGTATCTGAGGATTTCCAGTTGTGGCCCAACTGACAACACTCAGTTATAAATGGGCTGATAATGATATATGTTATAGTTATGATATATATATATATATTTATTTATTTATTTATACATAACACATACAGTATCATAATCTTAGTATACCTTAAGCCTTAGTTACATATAGGAGTTACAATTCCATGTGTAAGTCTTAAGGGCCAAGACTCACTGTGGCTTCTGCAGGTGCCAGGCGTCTTTACGGCAGGCGCAGCGTTTCTTCGGGGTCGAGCTGCAGCAGCACGCGGTGCCTTGTGCCATGGGTTGAGGAGGAAAATCCTGGGAAAATCCTGGACATTCCATGGATATCATGGATGTCGGGTGATGAAATTGAACCCCCAATGTCTTTCGAAAAATGTTGATATATTTAAAAGGGAACCTAGGTATTTAAATGGTATGTTTGGGATTCTGAAGAATGATTCACTTTCAAAATTAGCTTGAGCTGAATAGTTCGACAATGGTTTGCCACCAAAAATTGTTGGATCATGGCGTCTTTATGCGTGAAATGGTATTGAGTTGATGTGAATTGAAACTGACATCCAAAATACTTGGTCATTTTCTGTAGTAAAAGTTGACAGATCACAATCTGTGAGACCACCTGTGTCCGGGTGTTTGAGTCATAGTCGGATCGTGTAACAATAGATGTCCTTTTTCCCACTGGTTGGCAGCAGATTCACATTTCTAAAAAAACATTTTGCGCAAATAAATGCCACACTTCTGGGCTGAAGTCTTGGAAAGGCCGATGGAGAGAGAGAGAGAGAGAGAGAGAGAGAGGAGAGAGAGGGAGCGAAATGAGTGATTTGTTCTTTTTCCTCGTGTTTGGTTCACTTGTGATAGACTTTTCTTTTGCATAGAGTCTTTGTTCACCCAATAACGGCACCAAATTTTGCGGTAGAGCCGTTCTGTACCCTGCTGCTATCCCATGGAACATCGGATAAGTTGGACCCAAACCATTCAAAATTTCAACCCCGGATCGATAAAAGCCCAGTTTGTTTTTTGCATATGATGAGTTGCCAATGGGTACCATTCTTGATTTATCAATATTCATTGTTTGCAGTATCATCATTACGGGGAACCCCCTGTTTGGAGGTTTATCTGAATTATTCTGAAACTTATGTTGGCATTGCACTACTGTGTCGGCAAACCTCCACTTCTTTGGTGAAACTCCTATCGGATTCAATAATTCATGTTCAATTTGAGTCATTTCCAGCTGGTTTGTTGGAAGTTGCGGGTATGTATATTATGTATAATATATATAATATATATAATTTTTTTTTGTCAGACTGCATGTGGATGCGAACGTTCGCTGCGGCAGGTTCTGCACGATTTGAATTCCTCCTGGGTTCATTCACCTGGCAAAATCAGCGCCGATTGCATGGCCCATTTCTGTACTGACCATGCTTCGGCAGCGTTCAAGAAAGGCCGCAGGTAAACGATCCAGGTCCACCAGATGATCCACTGGTGGGAAGTGTGAGAGGAAACTTTCTGCCAACCCACGGCAAAAAGCCGGGGGATACTCTTTGAGTATCGCCGTTCGGAACCTTCCATCAGCGTCGACTCCGATCGTGGCTGCTCGTGGAAGATCAGGTCGGATCGCGTTGGCCCTGATATGCAGTGGGAGATCCGGAAGGTTCAAGGTCAGCAGGCCCGTCCTCTTTGTGCTAGTGGCACCAAGGAGACCCTGGGCGCATTCTCGAAGTTGGAAGCTCGGGAGATTCAAGATGAACTGCATGAGCGGAAGGCGCCATATTCAGCTTGTTCTGGTTCTCCTGGGTGCTCCAAGACGCCAAGTCCTCCAGTGGTGGAGAGTCGCACCATTCCTTGTAGGCTAAAGCCCAGTAACACATGGCCATCGTGGAGTTGTTGCATTTCTCGCAAAGAGAGGGACGGCAATCCCCAAAGGAACTGCCGGGTCCTGATGACCCTCGGTCCTCGATGAACAGGCTGTTGTGGTCCCAGAACGACCTTGCCACGGGCAATCGACCACGTGCAACAGGGAGGTCCACTAAGCATCCCAATCACGTAGCCATCTCCCATGGCATCAAGCCAGTATTTCTGTGTACTGGGACGGCTGATGTCCCCCAGGTGCTGTCGATCACTAAGTCGACCGATACGACTATGACATCCTGCAGGTGCTTGGTCGCCGCGATCTTGTCGACGAACCACTGGAAGTCTCCTGGCCTCCGTCTGCCGGAGTAGGCGTGCAGGATCACGCGCTCACGGTAAAAGACGCGAGGGCAGGTTGTTGCAAAAGGGCTCCAGGCGCACTCCAGGTTGGCCAAGTCATGGCACCACAGCTCGTAGAGCTCTAGGGGGTATAGATGGGACGCTTCTGCAGAATCGGTCTCAACGGCTTGGAGAAACGGCCAATGGGCTGCGTCTCCCAGGTCAGAAAGAAGTTGCTGAATCTGCTCCCGTGTGAGGTGCGTATCCATGACAGCTTCTTCTGTGAACCCTTGAGCCACCGCCTGCAGGGTAATGCGCGTTTGAGTCCATCCAATGTAGTGCTCGCTGATGGTGTTCTGCAGGGCCGCAAACAGTCGTGCGAGGTCCTTCTCGTCCGTCTCATAGATCTGTAGCGCTAAAGCCTCGAATAGTGGTTGATGATGGAGTTCAACTTGTCCTGGTGGTACATCTTGTCGATGTGGGCCATGGACTCTCTGTACTGGTAATAGACCGTCATGCTGCTCTCGCAGCTCGTTGTTGATCTTCGAACCTTTGCCTGGGGCAACTGTCTGATAGATCGGTCTCGAGCTGAGTATGCCGCGGCAATAATGCGCAGTGCGCAGATGAGCCTGCAGCTTGTCATGACTGTGAAATTCACGGAGGCAGGCTTCGCATATGGTGCCAGCAATCCATTGTCGTTCATGGGCTACGATTCCATGTGCACGGAAGAGATGTGCTCCTTCTCCTGCCTTTGAGCGGCAGCGTTTGGCGCAGTACATGCATCCAAAGTGGTGCTGCTGCTGACGTTCATCAAAAAGTTCTCGGACAGGAGCTGTGTGAAGTCGACCTCGATCAGATAGATGGCAAAGAACATCTTGATGTAGTCGACGAATCATCATATCATCTTCTCTTTTCATGCAGCTGAGCCGGGCTCCACGTTGCAATAGTGTTTTCCAATAGCTACGGTGGTACCGGAGCACGTACTCCCAGTCTTCAAAGTGTTGGGCAGGATCTCGCAGCCTGCTCGTGTCTGCTATGAGAGCCCATAACCATTGCAGATCATCGCAAAGAAGGGCCAACCAGTTGTGATCAGCACGGAAGATGGCCCACGGTGTGACTGCTTCACACTTGTAAAGAAGACCAAGATAGCGAAGCCTCACAATGCGGAGCATGTCCTCTGGTGCTGGCAGAGTCTGGCAGAGATGCTTGAGTCAACACGTCTGCATCTTGTATCGCTGCGTCTGGCGGCAACTTGAGCAGTCTGCGGTATAGGCGCAGAATGGCGGTACGGAAGTACTCGAAGGTCTTGTTGTCGCCAAATGTCCATGATTCCATGCTGTAAGCAATTTTGCTGACCACCAGTGACTGGAACAGTTCTGCTCTGCGTTGAAGCGAAAAGGCCGCATTCTGGAAGAGAAGTTTTCTGTGTGTCGCGAACGCAGCATTGCCAATCGCAATCCGTCGTCGAACTTCTCTGTGTGAAAGGCCTGTGTGGTGAGCTATACTGCCCAGATGGGTATAATGTCCAACAACAGAGATGTTCTGCGTGCCATATTCGGTGGTGATGGGCATTTGTTGTCCGTTGGCGGCACTGAAGTATTTGACGCGCAGCTTCCTGGATCCCGCTCCTCTAAAGGTGAACAGGATTTCACTTTTTCCACGGTCAAGATTGGGGGTAACCCCATGTGCTGTGCATGTCTCCAGCAAAATGCTGGCCGCCACTCCTGCTTGACTTTCCACCCCTGCAGCTGTCTGATGGGACAAAGTCAGGCAGAGATCGTCCATCCACGTTGGCCCAAGCAGGGTATGTTCCACAATGGGTGCATTGGCGGCGTCGACAAAGATGCCTGTGGCCTCAGCATCCTCGAAGGTCTCCAAGATGCCAATCTCCCCCAGACGCTTCTCGACAATGGTGAGAATTCGAGAGAACATGTATCCAAAGACTACATCGGCAAAAGGGTCGCCAGGCCTGCTGCCGATGAGAGTGTGAACTCGATCCGTCTGGGTCATCATCTTGAAGTGTGTGTTGGTATGCAAGGCTTGCAGGGCTCGGCACATATGCCATGGTAAGCCAGCCATGCTAGTGCCAGAGGGAAGTTGGAGTAGAGCTTGAAGATCCGCCAAAGCATCAGCTGGTAGATGCAGCCGGGCTGCCACCGTGGCTAGTAAAGAGTCAGGAATGTGGCCACCAACTGAGATTGGTCTCAAGACACGGTAGAACGCTTCTCTGAGATCTAAAAAGACCAGGGCGTGAGATCTGCTCAGGTGTTTTGCTCTGCGGGCAGCAGCTCTGATGTAGTGCACGCCGAGCGACACCGGGATGGATTTTCTGCCACCTATTTGGGCCGATTGTAAGAAGGCCTCATAGATGGTTGACTGATGGTCCCGGACTGCTCGATGGACTGATTTGGCCACATGTGAGCTGATCAGCAGGGAGCGATAAGACTCACATAGGTGTTGAGGGCCTTTTTTCTTCCATGCGGCTACAAGGACCCCGCCCTTGTGCAACAAGGCCTCTTGTCCGTGTGTACAGAGCTTCAAAAGTTGGCTGTACGCCCACCTTGCCATGGACACAGGGAAGTGGTGGCATAGTTCAGGTGGAATGTGATCTTCTCCCACAGCTTTGTGGTCCTTGACTCTACGAAATGCCGCTTCAAGGTCTGTGAGTGTCGGCAGGTCAGAGGCCTGCAGGTGCAGCTCGCTCTGCATAAAGTGGTGCAGCTGCTGTATCCATAGATCTCGAAGATGAGGCATTGACAATCTCTCTCCACCTTCCATGGCTCCAAAAAGCCAGTCCACCTGTCTCGCAGAGATTCAGGGCTGTCACATGGTGTTCCGTCTGCTTGCAGAACTTGAGGCAAGGGTGTGGCTTTGCGCAGCTTAGGATTGGTCGGACCAATCACAGGCTTCAGGGCATAGAGGATCTGGGATGCGGCACTGTCTGTGGGCAACTCTCCAATCGCCTTCTGGACCGCATGCCGTTTGGCCTGTGACAGTGCTTTGCGCAACGCCCGTGTGATCTGCCAGAGTCGAATGCTTCTATGGACACATTGGCGTCGCACAGTCGCTGTGAAGTGCTGGGATGCTTGTTGTTCTTGGTCCCCAAGATGCCCTCGCCACGCCGCAAAGCAGCGATGCAGATGCTCCTGTGCCAACTGATAGCGTAGTTGACGAACCTTCCTCTGTTGGTGTAGTTTGTCTGCTCGCATTTGCCAGATGTCATCGGTGATGTGGCTCTTCTTGGGGCCTCTCTTGGCCACCGGACAGTTGTTGTGCAGAACGTCAATCACATGCTCATTGAGATGTTCAACCTGTCTCTCTATATCAGTGTGCCAAGGTAGTGGCTGGTATTGTTGAAGTTGATGGGTCAAGGCACTATGTCTGATTCGTGTGCGATCATGACCTCGTCCTCGAGCGCGTCGTGGAATTGATGCTGAATCTTCTTGCCACTCAAGTTGTAGCTTGATGATCACCAAGATGTCCAAAGTCCAAGTTGGAAAGGCCCATCGAAAATGTACAACGAGATTGCCAATGACATGGTATCAGGACATAGTCGATGCGATGCAGGGACTCGTCAACTGGGCTGATCCACGTGCCCTGTGGTCCTTCATGGGTGTCCAAGGTCGCAGGCACACACAGTGAATGGTCATGGAGAAGGGCACGGAAATGTCCTGTATTGGCCGTTGTCTTGTCATCATTGTTGAAGACATGCCTTCCGTCTTGTGGTCCTGTGGCCGCATTGGCATCCATCATAATAATGATGTTGTCCCCAGTTGCGTGTGTGCTGATCAGGGTGGAGAGATTGTGCCACCATTCTTCACGGACTGAAGAGTCAGCACCACTGTGTGGAGCATGGGCAGCAAGAAGCCAAAGATCAATGGAAGAGTTCTTCGCATGGACCAGAAGGTGTCTGGGATCTCTCGCAACAACAACAAAGTCACCTCTGGTAAATCGTTGAGGTTGGCCTCCTTGATAAAGAAAAGGCTGGGCAAGATTGATCCAAATCTCAATGCCAAGGCATCCTTTGTCGCACCCACCAGCAAGCCGAAGAACATCTTGGTGTTGAGACGCACCAGTGTCTGTGCGACATTCTTGCAAGCCAAGAATATTGATGCCATGCGCCACAAATTGCTCTCGGACATACGTCAGCTTGTTGGCATAGCCTTCTTGTCCTCTGTAGAATGTCTGCACATTGGCAGAAGCTGCACTCAGCATGAAGTTGGTCTTCTGCATTGATGCTGGTTGTGTTTCAAACTGCATGTCGGACCTCTTACTCGGCAGAGAGATGGGTGCAAACCTCCGCATGTCAGTTGGGGCAAATCCACCTGATGTTGGACTGCCATCCACAAGTGTTTCAAGGTGTGGCGAAATGTCGGCATGTGGATGGGTTGTCGAGGCAAACATAATGTGGAAGTGCCTGCAAATTTTGCGAGCCAGTCCACCAGTTTGTTGTATGGATCCCCAGCATGGCTGCGCACATGGTCAACATGTAGATCTTCTCCTGGAAGACAAGCAGCCAAAGTTTGGAAGACTGCCCGCAGATTGCGGTAGGGCTCGTTGATGTCTGCAATGCCTATGCGTCCCATTGCCTGGTCTCCAGTCAGACGGGAGTCGCTCACAAAGACGGTCGGAATGCAATTGTTTTGGGCGAGCCGCCACATGCCCGACCAGAAGAGGCCCTCAGTTTCTGATGCATCTGATCCGATCTTCGTCGTGCCAATATAGTGTGAGGCTGTGGCCTCATACAGTACAACTTGGCACTGAAGCCCGAGGAATTGGAGCTTCCATGGTCTTCCTGATTCGTCAGCATATTGTTCGGCAAAGACTGCAAAGGCCCAAGAGTCACTGATGTCACGCTCAGCCACCCAAAGTGGGGGGCGATGGCGGTGTTTTGTCTGTGATGACCCATCCGTGTAGATGACATAGCGGTCAATCTGATCTACCGGCTGGCAAGAGTCAAGCGCACTTCTGATGAAGTCTGGTAGATCGAAGACACTGTAGTCAGTCCATAGATAGTCTTGGGGTGCTGTAAGCATCTGTTCAAGCTCGGCAGTGTCAAGCTCCAGAGTACAGGCAGTAGCCTCTGGCAAATCACTAAAGACTGGAAATGGCGCTGGCTGATGAGGTCGCTGTGGTTGGGGTGCAGGCCATGGCGTTCGGATTCGCTGGCATGGATGTCGCAGCTCGTGTTGTGGCTTCACATCTTCAAAGTGTAGGCAACGAACTCGAGTCCTCCATGTCTCTTCATACAGAATCACGGCCTTAAGAAATCCTTGTTTGCAGAGAAACTTCATGTGCTCGAGTTCTGAAAGCGCCCGCTGTGAAGACTGCATAAGGACTCCATTGGAAGTAGTGGGATTTTTTTCACAGTACACATAATGGAATCTCTGGTCTTCTTCAGCGGCGGCAAAATGAGCAAAGACTGTGTCATGTTCTCCACAAAGATATGCAGTGCATTGAAGTCCCCATGCCGATATAGCTCCAGCTCAACATCTTGCGCCGCATAGATCTCGTTGATCTCGATTGCAGTGGGGATGCCAGATGACAGAATGGGCGGTGCATCATGAAGAATCTGGACCAGTATCTTGGCTTGATCATCTTTCCAGTCCGCCCGCTGTAGGTCACCAACTTCTGGGAAATACATGGGTGATTGAGGCCACTGATCTTGAGCCACCGAATCAGTTGTTAGGCGCTCACAATCCCCTGGTTTATCATCAGATCGTTGGAGAAGGGCTGACAATTGGAGCAGGACTGGTCCTTCTGCCGCATTGTGTTGTACCGGAGCTGGCTGAGGGCTCAGGTGTATGATGATGCCATATCCATTGTGCCCAGGTATTGGTCGTCCAAGCTGCAAGATCTCCGTGTTGTACCACGCCTGACATCGAAGTTGAGGATGTGCTCCCGTGCATTGGCTAAGTCTTCCAATCACAAGGAGGAGATTGTCCAGCAGGATGTGTTCGTGTGTGGTGATGGCCCATTGTGTGGTTGTGCTAGGACCGTTTGCATACGAGTCCTGCACGGTGACTACAGAGGTCACCCAGTCAGGTCTTGGATGTTGTATGATCACGATGTGGCTGCTGGCTTCATTGTGGCGCGAAGGTGGCGTGGGCGTGACCCTGCTGATTTCATAGGGCGTGCCTGGCTGGATGAAATCTCGCCATGTTCTCAAAATGGTCTGTTCCCATTGAGTGAAATCTGCATAAAGCCTGGCTGTTCTGTATCTGTCGTGATGTGGCCAGTGCCAGCGATGATCCACGAACCAAACCGCCACAACAATAGATGCCTCCTCCTCTTCCCAGGCAAAGGCGCTGAACTGCCACGCCAATTGTAGATCTTGGATGTATTCAGGTTGTCCAAAGATAGACAGTTGATCCGGGAAGAAGGCTGCAGCATTGGGATTGAAATCGAAGTGCCCACATTCATTGGCCTCTGCAGGCATATCCACTGCATGTGTGTGTGGTCCCTGTCCCCTGGCAGATGTCTGCATGAAGGTGGCCTCATCTGAGGTACGTTCACGCACATGAAGTTCCAGGTGTTGCCCATGTTCACATTGCCATATTGCATGTCGTGAGATGGAATCACCACCATGGAATCACCACCATGGAATCCTTCACAGAGGTTGCGCATTTGATCGCAAAGATTTTCATGATCTTGGAACCATAGAAATCTATCAAAGTCTAGTTGCCTTGGGACCAGTTGGGCGAAGCGGTCGTGAAGTCCTCTATGGTAACTACTAAGTAGTACCGCTTTTTCACCAGGATGTCCATGTTGGAGTACAATCAGGTGTCCGCCATGTCGTAGATGTGGGGCTGGACGTGGGTCTGGATGTACTTGAAAAACTTCCAGAGGCCAGTGTGGATGGACTCGGTCACGCCAGATTTGCTGAAGCCTGTTGTCCCATTGTGCAACATCAGCAGGAAGTGCTATGGTCCTGGAGGTAGAGCATCGAGGGAAGTTGAGGGCACTGATGAACCATGTATCGAAGACCATGATCGGTTCATTTTGTAGACCAAGTTGGTGAAGTTCTGGTCGATTCCATATGTCTCGTCTCACCCTATGCTCTGGGTCAATCTCTTCTGGTTGTCTCTGTCTTTGGCCACGAATATGGCGGTGCCGCTCACCCGGGTGGCATGCGTCAAGACTTGAGACATGTTGTTGTTGTTGATCCGAAACCTTGTGTGTTTGCGGAATTGAAACTTGAAGGAGAGCCTGTGGTTCTTCTTCACTTTCACTGTGTAGTGTATCTCTACAATCAAGATCTCCAATGAAGACTTCCAAATAATCGCCATCTGCGATATGTAGTGGGGCACTTCTCCACAGGTCAATGCGGATGTTGTTGTGCCACAGGTGACTGCGGTCAGCATGTTGCCGATATGTCGAGGTGAGACCCAAAAGCCTGAAAAGTGTGTCAATGGTGGTGATCTTCGGTGCCCAATGTGCAGTTCTTCGGAAAATACCTGGTAGGATTGGATTTTCTTCATGAATTTCCAAGTCCAGGAGGATGAGCTGCATGTTGGGTGCTGGACGTGGCTCATGGTTTTGTTGTAGAAGCAGAGCTTGTAGTTCAACCTGTTCTAGATCATCAGGACGAAATCCAACATGATGTAGATGTAGTATTGCCTCTGAATGAATGCCAAAAGCTGTGGCAACTCTCGCTTGAAGTTCTTCACCTTCTCTCCAAGGGAGTAAGACCGACTGTGATTGGCCATTCAGTGCATAGATGACAGCTCTCTTCCAGTCAACTGGAGAGTCATCTGAGCAAGATGAGACTCCAGACATTGACGATGTGCTTGATGGCGAAGACATTGATCTTGTGGCTGGTGCGCTAGGTCGTCGTGCCATGAGACTTGTAGCATCTGGTTCTGGCGGATGTATGTCTCTGGGATTGATTTCTCGTAATCTCGGCACCACGAAGCGTTGCCAGCGCTCCTCATCAATGAGCATTGGGACTTCGATGACTAGTCCAAGGCCATCATGTAGGCGTATTTCTTGATCTGGTGGAAATACATGTGGTCCAGCTCGAATTGTGCAGGCACCTTGACCTCGTCTTTCGATCTCCAGGCAGTCATTGAGGACAGCCGCTTGACGCAAGATTTGTCGGTGTGACAATCGATCAGTGAAAGAGTGTGCTACCTGATCAATGCGGTGTCCTGCAATATCGTCCACAATGGCAGTGGTCAATCCGGCAACCTGATGTCGTAGAGGATGTTGGACAACAAGTAGACTAGCCACTGTTCCTCTAGTGACGGGTGTTGGTGGGTTCGGCTGAATCAGGAAAACTTCAAATTCAGCATGCCTGTCGAAAAAGTCAATCCAGACCTCTTTGATCGTCATGGCCCACTGTTCATAGTTGCGGTCAAGACGAACCGGTCTGTTCACCTCTTGACGACGACATGTCTCGTGGCTGATGTAGAAAGAGTCCAGGTACATGATGGGACCTTCTTCCAAAAGCTCAGTTGCACCTGCATTTTGAAGCAGCGCCCATAGTTCTTGGGTCCAGACAGGGAATCTGTGCAAGGGCTGGCTCGGCGTATGCGCGTCAGCTTGTCCTTGTTCTGGATGTGGCGCTGTTGGATGTTCAGGCGGATCTGGTAGATTAGGAACTTCTCCATGATCAGGCCCGTGTTGTTTCAGAATCCCAAGTTCCCGTAGATCTGAAACTGGAACTGGATGGCTTTTGTCCTTGAGAAAGTGCTCGAAGAATAGGCCATCAAGGTGAGGTGCCAAAATTGGTGACTGAACAGAATGCTCAAGCCATAGTGCTCGGATCTGGGCATCCCAAAGATTGATATAGTCTTCCTCCATGACAACAGAGTGAAGTGAGGGCAGAACGCCTTCAACAAACCCGCATTGATTGGCATTCAAATCAAAATCAATCTTGGTGTTGTGATCGACAAGCAAATTGCATATTTCATATTGTACTCGACCTCGGCTCGTGACAGCTTCCACTGTTGGCCAAAAGGTCAAACGACGAAAACGTGCTCGTCGTCTTTTTCGCCCTTCGCCTCTCCAGCTGGCTGTTGTAGAACAGCACGCCAAGCTGGCCTCCTCAGACGCAAGGAGGGTCAGGGCTGGTCGGAATCCCGCGGCTTCTTGTCGGCAGGTTCGACCAATTGGATGTCGTCCCCATCCCCAGCACGTGCTGATAGGGACCTTTTGCTCATCTTCTCTTCGATGGTGTCCTTGACCTTCTGGACGACTCCCTTCAGGTCTGTCTTCAATTGAGCCAGTTGTGGCTCGGCGATGGGCTCCTCCACATCCTCGATCGTCATCGTGGCATCCAAGGCTGTCTGACCTTCTTGTAACTCTCCTGACGGCACCGTCCCTTCCATGGCCATAGTCCTCACATGTACATCGTGGAGTTGCGTCCTGATGTACTGCAGATAGAGGGCGGCCTCTCGTCTCTTCTCGGAAAATTTCTGCTCGCCTTCCTCGTAAGAGTCTATGTGAGCAGTCCACATCTTGGTGGCCTTGTCCAGATAATCGGACCATTGGGAGCGGAAAGAGTCCCATTGCTCCTCCACATCCGAGAGCTTTTTGCGTGCCTGAGTCAGCAGGTAGATCAGCTGCTTGTAACTTTTCGCATCGTCTTTGCGAGTGTTGGCCTCGATGACCGCCAGCGCTTTCCTGACTTCCTCCGATTGTTCTCCAGCTTGTCCACGAATCTGAGAATGGAGATGGCGAAGTGCTAATAGCTCTGCGTCCTCCTTGTCAAACGGCACTTCCGGAGGTGAAATCCAGGTAGTGGAGGGCGGCAAGTGCCCAAAGGCCGCAGCCCCTCCTTTTTCCTGCTGCTTGCCCTTCTCGTGACCCTTGCCTCCGGCAGGTTCTGGGGGCTCTGTTCTCCATTGCGTTCGTCTGGAATTGGAACGTCTGTTGGCGTTCCGTTGACGTGGCGATTGTGTTCTCCTCCTTGGTGACTTGCTGGGTTGGCGCCATGAGCTTTCTGAAGCGCTCCATGGAGTGCCTGACCAGTCTTCTGCATAACCCTGATATTGTTGTGCAGTTGGAGCTCCTTGTGCCGGGCGTCCTCGTCTTTGCGGTCGCTTGTGCACGTAGGTAGGGTCGTGGCACATCGTCCACGTTCCCCAGCATCCACCACATGTGTCTGCTGTTGGACTCACCATCCTCATGCAGAATCTGCAGCGCCATGGGTCTTCGAAGGATGCCATTGCTGCTCTGATCTTGCTGAGAAAATGAAGATCTCTGCTGTGATGGGCTCGTAGTCTCCAATAAAGGGATGCGAGTCGAGTTTGATCCAAAGTGACTTTGCCCGTGCGATGTAGGAACCAACGACGTCGAGCAATGGCTCGTTGGCGTCTTGCACTCCTTCTCTGCGTAGGCGTAATGGTGGACAAAGTTCAGAATGACCGTATAGAGCAACACCAGGAAGAACATATAGATCCGGAAATACAAAGGTGGGAGCAGGTTACAAGGACAAAGTCAAACTTGTAGGATGCAGGCCACCAATGTAACAGTGGGCCAATTTAACGGCAGCCACTGACCCAGGTTTAGCGAGCTGGGACTCGAAAGTTGCAGTCAGGTCCAAGTTGTCCCCAATGGCCAAGAAGAAGATGGCGAGGAAGACGGACTTTGTGAGCCAAGGTGACACAGGCCTGCACAGTGCCTGTGGAGCACAAGATGTCGCAAAAGGCGCTGCTGGAGAAGCGCCCGCGGCTATGGCTCTTAGCCGCTCAGGTTTGAACGGTTTCAGACCCCTGCTGAAAGCCGAAACCTTGAGCCATAATATATATATATAATTATATAATCAGGTAACCATTACAGCTAACCCCAGGTAAGCCCAGGTAACCCAGCCCGCCAAGGAGGCTTTTGATGTTGTGTACATCACCTCAGAGTTTCAGAGCTTCTGCGGCCGATGGCAGTTGCGACTTCGAGAACTAGGCCGGCTTGAAACACTTTAGATGTAACATATCAATGCACAGTATGTAATACATAGAGTAATAATAATGATAATCATAGTAATAATTTTAATATATATATATACACATGTGTTATATATTGTCTATACTGTTATATTGTTATCGTTATCATATGAAATCATGACTGAATCATGGATCCACGCTGCTGGGTCAACGGAGTGGTCAACGGTTCCACCGGTGGATCCGGTGGATCGGTGAAATTCCCAGCAGAGGTTGGCACATGGGGGAACTCATCATGTTACCCTCTGGTAAACATACAAAAACCATACAAAAAACTATGGAAAGATCCACCATTTTTAATGGGAAAATCCATTATTTAACTATGGTCATTTTCAATAGCTACGTTAAATTACCAGAGGGTATATCATGTCAACTTCCAAATGGAAGATACCTTTGGGTAGGTTCCACATGGTTCCACCTCAACCGGTGGAGGTGGCCTACAGTACTGATTGGACAATTTTTTCCAGGCACGTTCGAAGACTGTGATGTGGACTTTGGTCCAACCGCAGACGTGCCTCGGCAGCGTGACGGTTCCACAAGTCCTTTCTTCGGCAACAATTCACAAGCTGTACCCACTCTAGGATATTGAAACGTGTCAAAGACGATAGTTCTCAAAGAAATATATATATATATGTCTGTATATATATATATATGTCTGTATATATATATATAAATGTATAGAAGAATGGTGTATTGAATTAGTTCTGCAATTACACTTATCATGTAATATATGTGCATGTGCGCATGTATTCATATGGATCTCTGTGAAGATGATCCTCATGGAATCATTTCACGGGGCAAACTGCATCATTGTTGCACAAGGGGGATTTGGCAGTGGGGTGCCCATGTTGTTTGTTATATATCGTTTTGGCTTGTCTCAAAATGAGGGGGTCCCCAACATCTAAAGAAAATGTGCCGAAAAATGATGAATGGGATTTTGGAGGTTCAAAACTTGATGGAGACAATCCGCGTATGTTTTTTTCCGATGCCGCTGCTGTTGCACTTGAGGACTACTTGGCTTGGCTTTCCGCTCAGGGACCTCTGAGTGTATGGTATACCCTCAAGGAGCATCGGAGTCAGCATGATGAAGGGACGTTCAATTGGCTAAATTGGAGGTATGTAATTAACGCTATCATTTGGCTGGTTCTTTCACATATGGCATTTTTTCTCCATCCCTACCTGGGATGACGAGCCAATGTTTGCGCGCGTATTTTCCTGAGTGAATATAGTTTGAGAGTTGAACATGGGCCATTTCAGGCATCTAACATCATCTAAACACTATCATGGATTGACTCATCTACAAGCCGGTTGTATCATATCCACATTTGACCACCGGAGGACAAAGATCGGGTGGTATGGAGCCCCTACACCCACAGATGGCTCCACCCTCCCAGTGATGAGAGAGGCTGTTCAGCCCCTTCCGCTGCAAGGGCTGACTGGTGGGCTGGTGGTTTGGAAATTGCTGAGAGCCACAAGCTTGAAGATCAATCAGAAGATCAATGGATTGGTTTAAGGGAAAATCTACAGGAAAGACCCATATTTAATAGGAAAATCTATGGTTTCCTGTAAATTTTCCCTTAAACCAATCCAATCAGAAGAGTGATAAGCAAAGGGTATCCTATTGATCCATACTGATCCCTTTCGCCTTTCCACCAGATATGTCGTGGTATAGATGCATTATACTGTATAACTTGGATACACATACACCAAAATAATTCCAAAATACTCATAACTACTGTATACAGTATGCATATATCAATATTTGCATACTTATATTACATATGCATATACTTATATTACATATGCATATACATATATAATGACCCATGCCTTAAGAAATTATTCCAGGGTATCAACTAGGTTATGGAATAATTTCTTTTTGAATAATTTTCAAGGAATAATTTTTGAGGGGGGTAGGTATACGATTATGCATGTTGGAATTTGAAAATCATGATCCAGCCCGTCAAGATACCCCGGAATAATTAGGTTTTGGAATAATTTTTGGTAACTTAAAACATCTTAAAACATCTTGAAGCAGCCTATACTTCCTACATTTGGCCTGGCCTTTCCAAAAGCCATTCCTAGCTTGGCGGTGTTTGCCTGAAAACTTTTTGCTGGAAATGCCAATTGCAGTTATTTAAGGCATCATGCAGTTTGGGCAATTGCTGCCAACCTTTTTTTGCAGCGTACTTGCACGCACAACTATAGTGTCGACCGGACCACCTTTCTCTCACGGTACTTTCTCTCGAGAGCTCTTTGGGTGGAAATGAATGGGGAATGTTGGGAAAATACCTAGGAAAAGGCCAGGTTGAGTGCCATTGTGTGGGCTTTCCCCAGGGGGGAAATTATTCTAGGGGTATTGGAGATGCCTGGTACCCCTCAAAAACGAAAGCGGACAGCTAATCACCCAATTAGCCCAGAAATTGGGAAGAATTGTCAAAAAAACAAATGAAACCCCACACATTTCCCACCCATTCCCACTATGGCCAACGGGAGTTTTTTGGAAGGAAATGAAGGGAATATGGAAGAAATAGGGGGGCGGACGCAAAGTTGGGAAAACCTCTAGAAGAGAGCCAAGTTGTTTTTTTTTTCCGGGCTTTCCCCAGGGGAGAAATTATTCTGGAGGTATTGGAGATGCCTGGCACCCCTGAAAAACAAACGGGGGCAGCTGCTACAATCACAAAACAAATCCAGAAATTGGCAAAAAAAAATTAACCAGTGACAACCAAATATTTTGCTTTTCCCACTCATTCCCACTAAGGCCAGAACCACCAAACTAGCCCAGAAACTGGAAAACACCCAAAACCAACTAAAACCATGTTCAGCCAGTGGGTTGCTGAGAGGAAATTTGTTTAAAGATACTATTCTGACTCTTCTTGATCCTATCTGAGTATGTTGAAAATTGTTTAAATTTGTGCCCCAGCTCTGCAAGAAGGGAAACCGTTTTCGGCCGTTTGCGCGCAGCTGCTTACGATCACTTGCGTTTGGCTAGAAATAGACTATACCGGTATCATTTTGATGGAAATTATTCCATTTTTCCATATGAACTCATGAGTTCTTAGAATAATTTATTTTTTTTGAACTCAACGGGTGCCGGAATAATATTATAATTATTCTGAGGTATGTTGACGGGGGTATCCCCTTAAGGCATCCCTCATCATATATATATATATGTATGTATGTAATGTAATGTAATGTAATGTAATGTAATGTAATGTAATGTAATGTATGTATGTATGTTATGTATTAATGTATGTATGTATGTATGTAATGTAATGTAATGTAATGCAATGCAATGCAATGCAATGCAATGTAATGTAATGTAATGTAATGTATGTATGTATGTAATTAATGTATGTATATATATATATGTATGTATATGTATTTATTTATATGATATGAGCGAGATTAAGCCAAGAAGTAGAATTTCGTATGCCGATGGGATCCCTCTAGTCCAAGGCGAAAATCAACGACGCGGAGTCGACGATCTCCCCCTGTGGGATGATCATTGAAGACGCCACTTGGGTGTCACCGAGGCGAATGATCCAAAGGCATCCAAAGGGAAACAGCTGCAATGTTTGATTTGGAGGTAGGTTATTTAAAGTTATTTAAAGTTATTTAAAGTTATTTAGAGTTATTTAGATGTTGGAATTTGGAAGGATGTGGACTTGGATGAGCACCAGCCTGGTGGTTTCAATCCGATCTTTTTTCATATATTTTTTTCCCTTCCGAGGGGACTTGTCGGAGCCAGCAACCCCAGAGTTGAAAACAAAGGAACGTGGCTTTCAGCATGGCAGTAACTCACCAGCAGTCCCCAGATGCAGAAAAGTCAAATCAAAAATAATCAAAAACTAAAAAAGGTCTTAATCTCGCATACATACTTAATGTTTGTAACCAGTTGGCTGGTTTGTAACCCCCAGATGTTTTTTTGGGGGTTTTGGGGGGTTACAACCCAGCCAACTGCGCAACGGATCGAGCTAAGGCCGCCCGTTGCGGGATGATGCCCAGCTGTTCCTTCCGAGCAATCTTCAGATCTGGAGCCATGGTTTTTGGGGGACAGTTGTGCCCACCTTCAAGGTTCAACTTTCCATGGGAATGTTGGATGATGAAGTTCATTGGTCAACTAAGGTTTATGGTGATGAATGGTGATTAATATATATATATATATTAATATATATACAAATATCAAGTAATAATCCTTAATATCTATAGTTGGAGTGGTTCCAGCCGCGGGAAAATGATCCACGGAACCCGAGAGAGCTGCTCGATGGAACCATTTTGTGGAACCATTTTGTGGAACCATTCTGTGGAACCATTTTTTTCTATGAAGTGAACTGCCCAAGAAAAAGAAACGAATGCAATTGACAATTGCCTGAGGATTTTAAGCGTCGAAAAATAGGTCGAATCACAATTTTTTCTATGATTTCAATTTGCAGAGACTTGGGGTTAAGCGCAAGGAGGTTGTCGACACGGGGAAGGCTGTAGCAAGTGGGTGCATGTTCAATTCTGGCCAATGACCAATTCTTTGGATCCATTTGGCAGCCATAGGATGCAACTTGACCAGACCCAGTTCTTCTTTCATTGGATTGCTTTAAGGGAAAACCTGACAGGAAACCATCGATTATCATGATTTTCCCCATGATTTCTATGGGCGCTTTCCTGTATTGTTTTTTCCCTTCAACCAATCCATTGATTGTTCCATTGGGATGATTTGAGGACGATGTCTTCCAAAACGCCTCGGCGATCCGTTGCCGGAGTTGACGGACAGCCGGGCCAGTCGCTGGGCCCAGTGGCCAGCCCCTCCTTTGTTGTCATCAAACATAGCTGGCCGGGACTATAGATTAAGCACCTTTTCGGGGAAAACATAATCTATCAATAAAGGTTTTAATGGAAAAATCATGAAACCTCTACAAATGGAGGTTTGAACGGGACATGATTGAACTCAATGTATCTATATAAATGTGTTATTTTTCGGCATGCCATGTGACTGATTGCAAGTTGGTACCATGAAACCAAGCGGGGATGTACTAATAGGACTACAGTGGGATATACCCTCCAAGTAATTTATAGAGGTGCAAATGAGAGGAAGTCATTCGGAGCGGGACAGCTGGAAGGCCGACATGGAGATGTCCCAGGACCTGTCCTATAGCTTGGTTGGTTTTGGTAAGTCCTGGTCCTGGCGTGGTTGAATCCCAGTGAATTTCCAGCAACCAAACGCGAAGAATCGAACAAGCTGTGTTTTTTCCACATGGAATTTGGCAGTAGCCCGATAGCCGCTACGATCATTTGGCAATTTTCTTGTGGCTTGGATCAGCCCAGGCAGGATCAAACCGCCCCTCCGGCAATTTAAGAGTTTGCTAGCTTTTGGAAGCCATGGCCCAATTTCTGTGATGATTTACCAGTCATGGTGATTTTCCAAAGCTATTTTGAATGACCGGAGGGTAGGGGAGCTGGAAGATTGTGGCCTTTTAATTACTCTAGTTGTGCTGCGGCTCGGACAGATTCGCACAGACCTTCAGAGCAGTGTATCCAATCAACTTGGAAAAAAAAAATCAAAGGCAATCAAGTTCCCCTCATATCCCAGATCAGCAACAGCCCCCAGCTGCTTGTTGTCTGCCGATGTTTAAATACAAAAGTGGGCGACCTCCAGAATGACCAGAAGCCGTATAGATAAATGTGCTATGATTAGTTAAGTTATGTCAAGTTCATAATTGTGTATAATTAGCTATGATTATAGGTTTGCGAATGCTTGCTATTTATATATATATATAGGTAAATTTATTATGATTTGGAGAGTTTCTACCTTGAGAATGGTGCCCAGTCATTGCCCTGTTCTTGCCTAAGGCATCAGCGTGAGAAGGCTGCAAGAGCCTATGAACCACAGCAATGGCAGCACCACTGAAACCACCAGCACGACCATGATGACCACAGGTATGTACAGGCCTGGCATGAACCACAGCAACGGCAGCACCACTGAAACCACCAGCATGACCATGATGACCACAGGCATGTACAGGCCTGGCATGAACCACAGCAACGGCAGCACCACTGAAACCACCAGCATGACCATGATGACCACAGGCATGTACAGGCCTGGCATGAACCACAGCAACGGCAGCACCACTGAAACCACCAGCATGACCATGATGACCACAGGCATGTACAGGCCTGGCATGAACCACAGCAACGGCAGCACCACTGAAACCACCAGCATGACCATGATGACCACAGGCATGTACAGGCCTGGCATGAACCACAGCAACGGCAGCACCACTGAAACCACCAGCATGACCATGATGACCACAGGCATGTACAGGCCTGGCATGAACCACAGCAACGGCAGCACCACTGAAACCACCAGCATGACCATGATGACCACAGGTATGTACAGGCCTGGCATGAACCACAGCAACGGCAGCACCACTGAAACCACCAGCATGACCATGATGACCACAGGCATGTACAGGCCTGGCATGAACCACAGCAACGGCAGCACCACTGAAACCACCAGCATGACCATGATGACCACAGGTATGTACAGGCCTGGCATGAACCACAGCAACGGCAGCACCACTGAAACCACCAGCATGACCATGATGACCACAGGCATGTACAGGCCTGGCATGACCACAGCAACGGCAGCACCACTGAAACCACCAGCATGACCATGATGACCACAGGCATGGCACATGAAACAGCAACCAGCCACTGAAACCACCCATGACGTGGATGACAGCACCATGATGATGGCAGATGTGGCACGTTTGGAGGGTTGCATGGGCTTGTCAGTTTCAGATGCGAGGATGTTTGCAGGTTCTTCAGATGCATTCCGAGTGTTGGAAGAGGCATTGGCTAGAGCGGCCGGTGGTGAAGTGATGGTGGAGCACCACAGCACCAACTGAACCAGCACCAGCATGTGATCCACTTTTCTGGTCATGCTGGGGCTGACGCTGCCATCCAGGCAGCTGAAAGGAGCAAAAGATGCATGTACAGGCCTGGCATGAACCACAGCAACGGCAGCACCACTGAAACCACCAGCATGACCATGATGACCACAGGCATGTACAGGCCTGGCATGAACCACAGCAACGGCAGCACCACTGAAACCACCAGCATGACCATGATGACCACAGGTATGTACAGGCCTGGCATGAACCACAGCAACGGCAGCACCACTGAAACCACCAGCATGACCATGATGACCACAGGCATGTACAGGCCTGGCATGAACCACAGCAACGGCAGCACCACTGAAACCACCAGCATGACGTGGATGACCAGCACCATGATGATGGCGGATGTGGCACGTTTGGAGGGTTGCATGGGCTTGTCAGTTTCAGATGCCAGGATGTTTGAAGCTTCCTCGGATGCATTCCGAGTGTTGGAAGAGGCATTGGCTAGAGCGGCCGGTGGTGAAGTGATGGTGGAGCATGTTTCTGTATCCATCATGCCTGGGGAAACTTGTGCAACTGGCCCGATGTCTTCTACTACGTGGTTTGGCGGCAGGCGTTTGCAAGGAGCAGGAGAAGATGTGAAGGTGGAATATGTGATCCACTTTCCTGGCCATGCAGGGGCTGAAGTTGCCATCCAGGCAGCTGAAAGGAGCAAAAGAGCCTTGGAAGAAATCTCCCTGAACCAGATGAACCAGATTGTCATGGAGGAGATGTCTAGGTACCATTCTCTTGCGATGCTTTCAGTTCACGTGACCACTCCCCCAACTGTGCATTTGATCATCACCTACGGGCCCAACATGAACCACAGCAACGGCAGCACCACTGAAACCACCAGCATGACCATGATGACCACAGGCATGTACAGGCCTGGCATGAACCACAGCAACGGCAGCACCACTGAAACCACCAGCATGACCATGATGACCACAGGCATGTACAGGCCTGGCATGAACCACAGCAACGGCAGCACCACTGAAACCACCAGCATGACGTGGATGACCAGCACCATGATGATGGCAGATGTGGCACGTTTGGAGGGTTGCATGGGTTTGTCAGTTTCAGATGCCAGGATGTTTGCAGGTTCTTCAGATGCATTCCGAGTGTTGGAAGAGGCATTGGCTAGAGCGGCCGGTAGTGGAGTGATGGTGGAGCATGTTTCTGTCTCCATCGTGCCTGGGGAAACTTGTGCAACTGGTCCGATGTCTTCTACCACGTGGTTTGGCGGCAGGCGTTTGCAAGGAGCAGGAGAAGATGTGAAGGTGGAATATGTGATCCACTTTCCTGGCCATGCAGGGGCTGAAGTTGCCATCCAGGCAGCTGAAAGGAGCAAAAGAGCCTTGGAAGAAATCTCCCTGAACCAGATGAACCAGATTGTCATGGAGGAGATGTCTAGGTACCATTCTCTTGCGATGCTTTCAGTTCACGTGACCACTCCCCCAACTGTGCATTTGATCATCACCTACGGGCCCAACATGAACCACAGCAACGGCAGCACCACTGAAACCACCAGCATGACCATGATGACCACAGGCATGTACAGGCCTGGCATGAACCACAGCAACGGCAGCACCACTGAAACCACCAGCATGACCATGATGACCACAGGCATGTACAGGCCTGGCATGAACCACAGCAACGGCAGCACCACTGAAACCACCAGCATGACGTGGATGACCAGCACCATGATGATGGCAGATGTGGCACGTTTGGAGGGTTGCATGGGCTTGTCAGTTTCAGATGCGAGGATGTTTGCAGGTTCTTCAGATGCATTCCGAGTGTTGGAAGAGGCATTGGCTAGAGCGGCCGGTGGTGAAGTGATGGTGGAGCATGTTTCTGTCTCCATCATGCCTGGGGAGACTTGTGCAACTGGCCCGATGTCTTCTACCACGTGGTCTGGCAGCAGACGTCTGCAAGGAGCCGAAGAAGATGTGAAGGTGGAATATGTGATCCACTTTTCTGGTCATGCTGGGGCTGACGCTGCCATCCAGGCAGCTGAAAGGAGCAAAAGAGCCTTGGAAGAAATCTCCCTGAACCAGATGAACCAGATTGTCATGGAGGAGATGTCTAGGTACCATTCTCTTGCAATGCTTTCAGTTCACGTCACCACTCCCCCAACTGTGCATTTGATCATCACCTACGGGCCCAACATGAACCACAGCAACGGCAGCACCACTGAAACCACCAGCATGACCATGATGACCACAGGCATGTACAGGCCTGGCATGAACCACAGCAACGGCAGCACCACTGAAACCACCAGCATGACGTGATGACCCATGCATGTACAGGCCTGGCATGAACCAAGCAACGGCAGCACCACTGAAACCACCAGCATGACGTGGATGACCAGCACCATGATGATGGCAGATGTGGCACGTTTGGAGGGTTGCATGGGTTTGTCAGTTTCAGATGCGAGCATATTTGCAGGTTCTTCAGATGCATTCCGAGTGTTGGAAGAGGCATTGGCTAGAGCGGCCGGTAGTGGAGTGATGGTGGAGCATGTTTCTGTCTCCATCGTGCCTGGGGAAACTTGTGCAACTGGTCCGATGTCTTCTACCACGTGGTTTGGCGGCAGGCGTTTGCAAGGAGCAGGAGAAGATGTGAAGGTGGAATATGTGATCCACTTTCCTGGCCATGCAGGGGCTGAAGTTGCCATCCAGGCAGCTGAAAGGAGCAAAAGAGCCTTGGAAGAAATCTCCCTGAACCAGATGAACCAGATTGTCATGGAGGAGATGTCTAGGTACCATTCTCTTGCATTCTTTCAAAGTTCACGTCACCACCCCCAACTGGTGCATTTGATCATCACCTACGGGGCCCAACATGACCACAGTAACCACATCAACGGCAGCACAATGAAACCAGCCCTGGCAATGAACCACAGCAAGGCAGCACCACTGACCCACCAGCATGAACGTGGATGACCCAGCACCTGATATGGCAGATGTGGCACGTTTGAGGGTTGCATGGGCTTGTCAGTTTCAGATGCGAGGATGTTTGCAGGTTCTTCAGATGCATTCCGAGTGTTGGAAGAGGCATTGGCTAGAGCGGCCGGTGGTGAAGTGATGGTGGAGCATGTTTCTGTCTCCATCATGCCTGGGGAGACTTGTGCAACTGGCCCGATGTCTTCTACCACGTGGTCTGGCAGCAGACGTCTGCAAGGAGCCGAAGAAGATGTGAAGGTGGAATATGTGATCCACTTTTCTGGTCATGCTGGGGCTGACGCTGCCATCCAGGCAGCTGAAAGGAGCAAAAGAGCCTTGGAAGAAATCTCCCTGAACCAGATGAACCAGATTGTCATGGAGGAGATGTCTAGGTACCATTCTCTTGCAATGCTTTCAGTTCACGTCACCACTCCCCCAACTGTGCATTTGATCATCACCTACGGGCCCAACATGAACCACAGCAACGGCAGCACCACTGAAACCACCAGCATGACCATGATGACCACAGGCATGTACAGGCCTGGCATGAACCACAGCAACGGCAGCACCACTGAAACCACCAGCATGACGTGGATCACCAGCACCATGATGATGGCAGATGTGGCACGTTTGGAGGGTTGCATGGGTTTGTCAGTTTCAGATGCGAGCATATTTGCAGGTTCTTCAGATGCATTCCGAGTGTTGGAGGAGGCATTGGCTAGAGCGGCCGGTGGTGAAGTGATGGCGGAGCATGTTTCTGTCTCCATCATGCCTGGGGAGACTTGTGCAACTGGCCCGATGTTGTCTACCACGTGGTCTGGTGGCAGACGTTTGCAAGGAGCCGAAGAAGATGTGAAGGTGGAATATGTGATCCACTTTCCTGGTCATGCTGGGGCTGACGCTGCCATCCAGGCAGCTGAAAGGAGCAAAAGAGCCTTGGAAGAAATCTCCCTGAACCAGATGAACCAGATTGTCATGGAGGAGATGTCTAGGTACCATTCTCTTGCAATGCTTTCAGTTCACGTCACCACTCCCCCAACTGTGCATTTGATCATCACCTACGGGCCCAACATGAACCACAGCAACGGCAGCACCACGGAAACCACCAGCATGACATGGATGACCACTGGCATGTACAGGCCTGGCATGAACCACAGCAACGGCAGCACCACTGAAACCACCAGCATGACATGGATGAGCAGCACCATGATGATGGCGGATGTGGCACGTTTGGAGGGTTGCATGGGCTTGTCAGTTTCAGATGCGAGGATGTTTGCAGGTTCTTCAGATGCATTCCGACTGTTAGAGGAAGCATTGGCTAGAGCAGCCGGTGGTGAAGTGATGGTGGAGCATGTTTCTGTCTCCATCATGCCTGGGGAAACTTGTGCAACTGGCCCGATGTCGTCTACCACGTGGTCTGGCGGCAGGCGATTGCAAGGAGCAGAAGAAGATGTGAAGGTGGAATATGTGATCCACTTTCCTGGTCATGCTGGGGCTGAAGTTGCCATCCAGGCAGCTGAAAGGAGCAAAAGAGCCTTGGAAGAAATCTCCCTGAACCAGATGAACCAGATTGTCATGGAGGAGATGTCTAGGTACCATTCTCTTGCGATGCTTTTAGTTCACGTCACCACTCCCCCAACTGTGCATTTGATCATCACTTACGGGCCCAACATGAACCACAGCAACGGCAGCACCACTGAAACCACCAGCATGACGTGGATGACCAGCACCATGATGATGGCGGATGTGGCACGTTTGGAGGGTTGCATGGGTTTGTCCGTTTCAGATGCCGGAATGTTTGCAGGTTCTTCAGATGCATTCCGAGTGTTAGAGGAAGCATTGGCTAGAGCAGCCGGTGGTGAAGTGATGGTGGAGCATGTTTCTGTCTCCATCATGCCTGGGGAGACTTGTGCAACTGGCCCGATGTCTTCTACCACGTGGTCTGGCGGCAGACGTCTGCAAGGAGCCGAAGAAGATGTGAAGGTGGAATATGTGATCCACTTTTCTGGTCATGCTGGGGCTGACGCTGCCATCCAGGCAGCTGAAAGGAGCAAAAGAGCCTTGGAAGAAATCTCCCTGAACCAGATGAACCAGATTGTCATGGAGGAGATGTCTAGGTATCATTCTCTTGCGATGCTTTTAGTTCACGTCACCACTCCCCCAACTGTGCATTTGATCATCACTTACGGGCCCAACATGAACCACAGCAACGGTAGCACCACTGAAACCACCAGCATGACGTGGATGACCAGCACCATGATGATGGCGGATGTGGCACGTTTGGAGGGTTGCATGGGTTTGTCAGTTTCAGATGCCGGAATGTTTGCAGGTTCTTCAGATGCATTCCGAGTGTTAGAGGAAGCATTGGCTAGAGCAGCCGGTGATGAAGTGATGGTGGAGCATGTTTCTGTCTCCATCATGCCTGGGGAAACTTGTGCAACTGGCCCGATGTCGTCTACCACGTGGTCTGGCGGCAGGCGTCTGCAAGGAGCCGAAGAAGATGTGAAGGTGAAATACGTGATCCACTTTCCTGGTCATGCTGGGGCTGAAGTTGCCATCCAGGCAGCTGAAAGGAGCAAAAGAGCCTTGGAAGAAATCTCCCTGAACCAGATGAACCAGATTGTCATGGAGGAGATGTCTAGGTATCATTCTCTTGCGATGCTTTTAGTTCACGTCACCACTCCCCCAACTGTGCATTTGATCATCACTTACGGGCCCAACATGAACCACAGCAACGGTAGCACCACTGAAACCACCAGCATGACGTGGATGACCAGCACCATGATGATGGCGGATGTGGCACGTTTGGAGGGTTGCATGGGTTTGTCAGTTTCAGATGCCGGAATGTTTGCAGGTTCTTCAGATGCATTCCGAGTGTTAGAGGAAGCATTGGCTAGAGCAGCCGGTGGTGAAGTGATGGTGGAGCATGTTTCTGTCTCCATCATGCCTGGGGAAACTTGTGCAACTGGCCCGATGTCGTCTACCACGTGGTCTGGCGGCAGGCGATTGCAAGGAGCAGAAGAAGATGTGAAGGTGGAATATGTGATCCACTTTCCTGGTCATGCTGGGGCTGACGCTGCCATCCAGGCAGCTGAAAGGAGCAAAAGAGCCTTGGAAGAAATCTCCCTGAACCAGATGAACCAGATTGTCATGGAGGAGATGTCTAGGTACCATTCTCTTGCAATGCCTTCAGTTCACGTCACCACTCCCCCAACTGTGCATTTGATCATCACCTACGGGCCCAACATGAACCACAGCAATGGCAGCACCACTGAAACCACCAGCATGACGTGGATGACCAGCACTATGATGATGGCGGATGTGGCACGTTTGGAGGGTTGCATGGGTTTGTCAGTTTCAGATGCCGGAATGTTTGCAGGTTCTTCAGATGCATTCCGAGTGTTAGAGGAAGCATTGGCTAGAGCAGCCGGTGATGAAGTGATGGTGGAGCATGTTTCTGTCTCCATCATGCCTGGGGAAACTTGTGCAACTGGCCCGATGTCGTCTACCACGTGGTCTGGCGGCAGGCGTCTGCAAGGAGCCGAAGAAGATGTGAAGGTGAAATACGTGATCCACTTTCCTGGTCATGCTGGGGCTGAAGTTGCCATCCAGGCAGCTGAAAGGAGCAAAAGAGCCTTGGAAGAAATCTCCCTGAACCAGATGAACCAGATTGTCATGGAGGAGATGTCTAGGTACCATTCTCTTGCAATGCTTTCAGTTCACGTCACCACTCCCCCAACAGTGCATTTGATCATCACCTACGGGCCCAACATGAACCACAGCAACGGCAGCACCACTGAAACCACCAGCATGACATGGATGACCAGCACCATGATGATGGCGGATGTGGCACGTTTGGAGGGTTGCATGGGTTTGTCAGTTTCAGATGCCGGAATGTTTGCAGGTTCTTCAGATGCATTCCGAGTGTTAGAGGAAGCATTGGCTAGAGCAGCCGGTGATGAAGTGATGGTGGAGCATGTTTCTGTCTCCATCATGCCTGGGGAAACTTGTGCAACTGGCCCGATGTCGTCTACCACGTGGTCTGGCGGCAGGCGTCTGCAAGGAGCCGAAGAAGATGTGAAGGTGGAATATGTGATCCACTTTCCTGGTCATGCTGGGGCTGAAGTTGCCATCCAGGCAGCTGAAAGGAGCAAAAGAGCCTTGGAAGAAATCTCCCTGAACCAGATGAACCAGATTGTCATGGAGGAGATGTCTAGGTACCATTCTCTTGCAATGCTTTCAGTTCACGTCACCACTCCCCCAACTGTGCATTTGATCATCACCTACGGGCCCAACATGAACCACAGCAACGGCAGCACCACTGAAACCACCAGCATGACGTGGATGACCAGCACCATGATGATGGCGGATGTGGCACGTTTGGAGGGTTGCATGGGTTTGTCAGTTTCAGATGCCGGAATGTTTGCAGGGTCTTCAGATGCATTCCGAGTGTTAGAGGAAGCATTGGCTAGAGCAGCCGGTGGTGAAGTGATGGTGGAGCATGTTTCTGTCACGATGGTGCCTGGGGAAACTTGCGTAGCTGTTCCAATGTCCTCTACAACTTATCCTGTCACAAGTGTTGGTGGCAGACTGTTGCAAGGTGTCAACGACACTGTGCGGGTCGACTATGTGATACTTTTCAGTCAGCATGCAAGTGCTGAAGCTGCTGTTCAGGCTGCGGAAAGGAGCAAAGTAGCCATCGAACAACTTTCTTTGAACCAAATGACCCAGATCATCATGGAGGAGATGTCTCGGTACCCATCTCTAACAGTCACGCTGTCAGTTACGAGTTCATTTGCTGTGGTTGTCTCGGAGTGGGCTACGTCAACATTGACGAATACCACAACTACGACCGCAACAACCAGCACAACATATACAACAGTCACATCAACATCGATGACAAACACGACCACGTCCACAAGTGGCACGGACACAACCACACTGAGCACGACCGTGGTGACATTCACGAACACCTCGACCTCTACCACTGAAACCAGCACAAGCAGCATAACAACCACTTACACATCAGTGACCAACACTACAACTTCGACAAGTGTGACAAGCAGCACGAGCATGACAACCACGGTATCCAGCACACTTACGTCCACAAGCACATACACATCAGCGACCAACACTACAACTTCCACAAGCGTAACAACCAGCACGAGCATGACAACCACAGTATCCAGCACACTTACATCCACAAGCACATACACATCAGCGACCAACACTACAACTTCCACAAGCGTAACAACCAGCACGAGCATGACAACCACAGTATCCAGCACACTTACGTCCACGAGTACATTCACATCAGTGACCAACACCACAACTTCCACAAGCGTGACAACCACTACCTCCATGACCACAACATCATCAAGTACTGACACGTCAACCAGTGTCACAACATCCTTCACCAACACGACCACCAGCACAAGCCTGACAAGGACCACCAGCTTGACCACTACATCAACAAGTTTCACAGTATCAACAACTCGGACAAGCACAGGCACCACAACATCTTTTACCAACACTACCACCAGTACCAGTCTGACAAGTACCACCAGCATGACCACAACGACAACCAGTATCACCACATCAACCACTCAGACAAGCACAGTCACCTCAACATCCTGCACCAACACTACCACCAGTACCAGTCTGACAAGTACCACCAGCATGACCACAACGACAACCAGTATCACCACATCAACCACTCAGACAAGCACAGTCACCTCAACATCCTGCACCAACACTACCACCAGTACCAGTCTGACAAGTACCACCAGCATGACCACAACGACAACCAGTATCACCACATCAACCACTCAGACAAGCACAGTCACCTCAACATCCTTCACCAACACAACCACCAGCACAAGCCTGACAAGCACCACCAGCATGACCACTACATCAACAAGCATCACAACATCAACGACCAAAACCGTTACAATGACTTCAACTTCAGTGACCGACACCACCACGTCCATCACAACCACAAGCACCACAATCTCCACTTCTTCAACCACTTTGACGACTTCAGTGACGAACACCACAACGTCCACTTCAGTCACAAGCACCACCACGATGACAACAACAGCCACTTCCACGTCCATCAGTAGGACCAGCACAAGCCTGACCAGCACCATTAGCACAAGCTCCAGTGTCACTCTGACAAGCACAAGCACAAACACCAGCTCCACAACCATGAGCAGCACAACTAGCTTAAGTCTCACAAGCAGCACCAGCACAAGCACCAGCAGCACCAGTGCCAGCAGCACAACCTCCAGCAGCAGCAGCTCAAGTTTCAGCAGTAGCAGCACCATCAGCAGCAGCACAACAACTTCTTCAACGTCAGAACCTCAGTGCTTGCACTCTTTGAAGCTCTTTGATCTCTTTGCTTTGTTGATGATGTTGATGATGATGTTGATGTTTCTTATTGTTTCTTGTGTTTGGTTGGCACATCTTGGCACTAGGGATTGGGTTGCAGATAGAGTCGATAGAGCGCAGCATAGCGCAGCGAGTTCTTCCGAACGCAATGGGCAGGGTTTGCCCTTGCCGGACTGAAAACGGGCCCGAGAATAGCCTTTGGGCCTTTGGGAGCGGGCAGTTTCAGTGGACAGCAGATTTGATTCGTGCATTTTGATGCATTTTGTAGGTTTTCATGCGCTCAATGCTAAAAGAAAAGTGCTTAAGCGCTTGCGCAAGAACAGTCATGAACAGTCTAAGTTGTTTGTTCCTTCCGGTGTGCTTAGGTTTGTAAACCAAGTTTCTGCATACAGCTCCATTACAGCTCCGCGTGTTCCATTATGTGCCAGTGGGGCATGCTGGGGCCTTGTTGGCCCGTTTTCTCTCGCTTAAATATTGGCGGTGTGGTCGAGGGATCAGTTTTGGATACAAGAGGCTCGTGCATTTCTTTGGCATGTGCCTGTGTTTGATGTCAGGAGCGCACATACACTCACATATGATATTATCACTATCCATTTTTTATACATACATATATGATCATTAATAATTAACTATATATATATATATAAGATTATTTTTATAAGTATTATACATAATAATAACAATAATAATAGTAATACTAGTAATAACAACAACATTTTGTTCTTGCACGTGCATATATTTATTATAATTCACTACAGTATTTTATTTTTTGCACAATTTCACACCAATAATACATACCTATATATACACATAATTATTACTGAATTATATATATATATATACGTCTAATCTATCTATCTATCTTATCTAATCTTATCTTATCTTATCTTATCTTACCTTACCTTACCTTATCTTATCTTATCTTATCTATCTATCTATCTATCTATCTATCTAATCTATCTATCTAATCTATCTAATCTATCTAATCTATCTAATCTATCTAATCTATCTAATCTATCGATCTATCTATCTATCTATCCATCTATCCATCTATCCATCTATCCATCTATCCATCTATCCATCTATCCATCTATCCATCTATCCATCTATCCATCTATCCATCTATCCATCTATCTATCTATCTATCTATCTATTCTATTCTATTCTATCTAATCTATCTATCTATCTATCTAATCTATCTAATCTATCTAATCTATATAATCTATCTAATCTATCTAATCTATCTAATCTATCTAATCTATCTAATCTATCTAATCTATCTAATCTATCTAATCTATCTTATCTATCTAATCTATCTAATCTATCTTATCTATCTTATCTATCTTATCTATCGCATCTATCGCATCTATCGCATCTATCGCATCTATCGCATCTATCTAATCTATCTAATCTATCTAATCTATCTAATCTATCTAATCTATCTAATCTATCTAATCGATCTAATCTATCTAATCTATCTAATCGATCTAATCTATCTAATCTATCTAATCGATCTAATCGATCTAATCGATCTAATCGATCTAATCGATCTAATCGATCTAATCGATCTAATCGGTCTAATCGATCTAATCGATCTAATCGATCTAATCCATCTAATCGATCTAATCGATCTAATCGATCTAATCGATCTAATCGATCTAATTGATCTAATCGATCTGATCGATCTAATCGATCTAATCGATCTAATCGATCTAATCGATCTAATCGATCTAATCGATCTAATCGATCTAATCGATCTAATCTATCTAATCTATCTAATCTGTCTAATCTGTCTAATCTATCTAATCTGTCTAATGTCTAATCTATCTAATCTATCTAATCTATCTAATCTATCTAATCTCTATCTAATCTATCTAATCTATCTAATCTATCTAATCTATCTAATCTATCTAATCTATCTAATCTATCTAATCTATCTAATCTATCTAATCTGTCTAATCTGTATCTAATCGATCTAATCTATCATCTAATCTATATCTCTAATCTATCTAATCTATCTAATCTATCTAATCTATCTAATCTATCTAATCTATCTAATCTATCTAATCTATCTAATCTATCTAATCTATCTAAATCTATTCTAATCTATCTAATCTATCTAATCTATCTAATCTATCTATCTATCTACTAATCTATCTAATCTATCTAATCTATCTAATCTATCTAATCTATCTAATCTATCTAATCTATCTAATCTATCTAATCTATCTAATCTATCTAATCTATCTAATCTATCTAAATCTAATCTATCTAATCTATCTAATCTATCTAATCTATCTAATCTATCTAATCTATCTAATCTATCTAATCTATCTAATCTATCTAATCTATCTAATCTATCTAATCTATCTAATCTATCTAATCTATCTCTATCTAATCTATCTAATCTATCTAATCTATCTAATCTATCTAATCTATCTAATCTATCTAATCTATCTAATCTATCTAATCTCTCTAATCTATCTAATCTATCTAATCTAATCTCTCTAATCTATCTAATCTATCTAATCTATCTAATCTATCTAATCTATCTAATCTATCTAATCTATCTAATCTATCTAATCTGTCTAATCTGTCTAATCTATCTAATCGATCTTATCTATCTTATCTATCTTATCTATCCAATCGATCTAATCGATCTAATCGATCTAATCGATCTAATCTATCTAATCTATCTAATCTATCTAATCTATCTAATCTATCTAATCTATCTATCTATCTATCTATCTATCTATCTATCTGTGCCAAGACTAAAAACATCCGACATGTGGCCCAGTGGCTCGCCTTTAGCCCTTTCTGCGTGGACGATTTGTGAGTCGGCTGACAGGCGCAGCCCATGCAAACATCAGACAACAATGTGCAACAAGATGTGGTGCTTAAGGATGTTCCATTTGTATACTCTTCGGGCTGCCCTTCTCAATGCTTCTCAAGTTGCGTGGGCACTGGGGGACCATGCCGACATAGCCGGCACTTTCTGCAAACGCGATGAAAGGGGGCGTACGGTAGCGCTTGACAGAACTTGCTGATTGCATTGCAGAATGGCCTTCATATTGTTTGCCGGCAAGCAAACAGAAAGACAGGCAGAACGCTAGGTAGATCGACAAACTTAGATATTTACATGTTTCTACACATGAACATGTTGGAAATAAATGGAAATAAGTGTGTTCATGTTTTTTTCTTTGAATAGATACATTTATTGCATATATATATATTTATTTATCATGATATATCTTCTATTTATCATGCATGTAGTTGGCTGGCGGCTTGTAGAACGCCGCCAGCTTTCGTGCATTTTCTGTCTCGGTGGGGTGGGGTGGGGTGTGGTGGGTGATAACGTCATTTTCACAATGCGTCTAACACGTCTCTTGATGCTACGCTCTGCACTTCTTCAAGTAACTTCTAGCACGTCTCTTGATGCTACGCCCTGCACTTCTTCAAGTAACTTCTAATGAAGATTCCCTCGCAAAATGAAAGGGAATGTGGGATCCAAGCTGCACCCCGAGATCGATACATTGGTCAAACAATGGTTGTACAGAATGTGGACACCTTGCTCAGGTGCAGATGATGTCTATTTAAAAAAACAAAAAAAACACTCAAGTTTTGCAACGCAAGTGAAACAAGAGAAGTACAGTAGTTTTACAAGAAGAAATTGCAAAAAACAACGAAGTAGTTTGTCGCAGGATGTCAGAGAGTCAAAAAAAAGGTACCAAAGCACAAAACATTGAGAAAACACAGACAAAATGAATTCGCCACGGTTGGAAAAACAGGCGGCGTTCTGTGAGCCGCTTACCATGTAGTTTATTGACTGTTTATTGATTTGGTCATATATATAATTTGGATTTGAGGCTGGCTGTGTCCTCCTCGTCACTTCAGGTCCTCTTCAACTTCTTCCAGCAGCTCCTCGAGCTCAACGCCGCTGGGCCTCCGTCCGATCAGGGGCACCATCCAGGCAGAAATTGTGTGTTTTTCGAGGTGGTTAAGTAATGTTAAGATATGTTAAGTATAGGACAGCGGTTTAAAACATGTTTAAGCATATTTTGACATACTTGTATAATAAAATATATATATATAATTATATATTTATAGAGAGAGATCCTTTTAGGCTTTGTTCTGACGATTTAAAGGCGTCTATCTATTTTTAAATTTTGTTTTGAGAGATAAAATCTGAATCCCTTGTGAAGATCGGTACGATTGAACCTTAACAACATGCCAGCCTTGTAGATGGCGGGGCAAGAAACTCTTTGGATGGACGCTTTTGAAAACCAAACAACAACGAACAAATGGATATTTGTCGACCATTGCCAAGTAGCCTAACTAAACGTGGAATTGGATTCATTAATTGTAAACTGAGGTGGTTGCGCTTGCCGAGTCAAATGTTGAAATGTTACATTTCGTGTATTTTCTCAAGAACGTGTATTCGTTGAAAGGAAAGAGGCACCAACGTGTTCAATCTCCATAAGTTGACCTGATTGTAATGATAAACCATTGAGAACCATTTCAAAACATGCATCACTCATGATCACTCATAGATCAGCCAGGATACAAGATATGGTTTTTGTGATTTACGAGACGTCCACATTCGTGTCAAATAGAACCTTGATTGTATTGATATTCACACAAGTTACTAAGAATATTGGAACATGTTTTTATATAGCTGATATTATGATTATTATGTAGCATAATGCTGCTCTATAGTGGGATCGGGTAAAATGATAGTCCGAACCAATCGAAATGGTTCAACGTCCCGTCGTTGAATCCTGACCACATCAACAATTTGTTCAGGTCTACCTGAGTTGCAGGACATGCCCTAGTTTTGCCACTCAAAGAATGGGATTTCCCGTGATTCATGTTCTTGGTTGGAAAAAGTGGAACATTCCACATATTCCACATATTCCACGGTTTATCAACTAGTCTTACTATGTTTTTACTGTTGAAAGATATCGATTTCCGCATGGAAAAAACATGAAAGCCACCTCCAAGGACCACGTCCACGTCAACAACACGCAGCACCACCTCCTTCACCTACACGGCTCCATGGCGACATTACTGGCCCCGCACAACGGTGATCATTTAAGGAGGTTTCCGTAGTGGGTACCCCAATTCATCCAGGTCATTGATGACCATGACTTAGTATTGAAAGATATTCAAACCTATTGAAACCTATTGAAACCCATGGTTTTGGGATTTTTGGGTGCCACAGTGCCACATTTTTAGAACACCTCCGAGAGTTTTGGTTCAGCAGGCACCACTCCGACCAAAATTTGATGGTAATTACTGAGGTTGGTGGTTAGCGTAACCAACCAATCATAAAATCTCATTGTCTAAGGTTTGTGACTTGCGAAGACCCCCTGAATGCTGACTCCCAAATACGGTTTATGAATGGTTTATGATTATGGATGGTTTATGGATTGTTTATGATTGGTTTATGGATGGTTTATGAATGGTTTATGGATTATCCATGATTCATAATCCCTTCCTTTTGATTCCTTTTGATATTATAAAACAATATAAACCATCATAATATCACATCTAATATATATATATAAATTATTAAATATCATAGTCCCTTCCGTTTGATATTAAAGATCCATAAAGAATCATAAACAAATCATCTGCAACTTCCCAATTTTTCACAGATCTCCTCATGGATTCCATGGATTCCAACCAGCATCAGCCAGGTCTTGGAGGGCAAATGTCCAGTGCCTGTGGTGGACAGCACCGTGAACGTCACAGACCCTTGCCTCGTACACCCGAAATTTCGCCAACGTCAGGTCAATAGCAACCCCAACACAAACTATAGAAAAGTAATATATGAATGGTTATGAACCTGGATGAAGTAAAATATATGTAAATATTACGTAAACATCATCCGTAGTGAATCTTGGAAACCCTGTTCTATCTTTTTGGGGCTTGCTAGAGGTCATTTTCTTCAGCGTGGGAACGATGGTCATATAATAAGTGGATCGAAACGTGGATCGCTTGGCCTGATATCGTTGTCCAAGGATTGTTTCGCAAAAGGTCCTGGTGAAACTTGTACGTTGCGATGTATCTATGGGTATGTTGGTGAAGCATCGCTCTACACCTGCACTGCAAGTGACTTGGCTGGCGCGACACAGAGAGTTCATATTTTTTGGGAGATTCAATGGAACATTGACTGCTTGTTGCGACTGGGGGGTATATGGATACGTGTGTATGCACAAAAAATATACTCTCTCTCTCTCTATATATTACATACCATATTACATATATAACTATATATGTATATATGGGTTACCCAGCCAAACATGTGTCATTGGTGAGATACGTGTTGGCAGCTGGCCGGTGGTTTTGCATGTCGTTTCCGTTTGTTTTTATTTGCGTCACCGTGTTTTATTTATATTTAGGTTTGACGGCAGGGGTAGTGTTGCTGTGGGTTTTCCTGGGGTGCATCTGTGTACAATATATATGGTAGCATTTGTTCACCAAGGCAGTCAAACAGCACGGAGCATCACAAGACGTTGGCAAAACCAAGTTTGCAGTTTCAAGACATTTTCGTCTTGGGGTACATGGCAAGGTGTTTAGCTTGATTTGTTTTGCCCTTGGTTCCACAAGTGTCCACACCACTTTGAATCAAAATAGACTTAGACCCTGAATGACCCTGATATCCCCACTTTTTTGTTGGTTGATGTCCCGCAGTTCTATGGCCGATTTGGAGGGTGTTTCAGGGGTCCTACTTATCATTTCTGATTCTTGGATGAACACTGATACAACCTGGTATTAAATCCACCCAAATACGTCAAAGGTGATGCCCTTTAAAAGGATATGTATATGTGTATGTGTATATCATACTGTAAACATATACACCGTTAGGGCAACAGTTGCGCTTGTTGAGCTTCCGACAGTGAACATGTTTGCTTTCTTCTTTTCCAAACCCTTTCCCCTTAGAATCCTAGCATGGAGCTTTGTCGTACCCCGGTCGCATTTCCACCCTCCAAAAGCTTTGAAATCTTATATATATTAGTATAGATATTTATAGATTATAGATTTAAAAGAAGGTGACAATTGACCATCCCACACCTGCCACACAAAATGGACTTGGAAATGTGATCCGCGGTTGACCGTGATGGATGTTTCGTAAAGCTTTCAAGAAGCATAAGCTTTGTTCTTCCTGAAGTATATATATATACGCATTTTCACCTATACATAAATCTAGGTAAATTATAACGGCCACTACGACCTCACTGGAATCATGGTTAGTAAGGTGCATCATCCCCAAATAGCCTTATTTCAGGTTAGTGAAATATTACAATTTACTCAGATAAATGCATATATATATATATATATGTATATATATATATATACATGTGCACATATGTATATGCATGTACACCAGCTAGCCCGCAGGCACCGATGGAGAAGTCTTTGTTGGTACTCCTCCCAGCTGCGTCCAAAGCACAACCACAGTAGCTTGGTGAAATCTGGGATTGATGGATATTGATGGTGTCAACCACGGTGTCAACCCTGAATAGACCATGGTTCATTAACCGGGGGGTACTTTTCAAATAGTGATAATCTGAGACTTCATTGGTACCCCGGGTTTATTGATCCAGGGTTGACACCATTGTAAATGGGGAAGCATGATCGTCATGGCGATTTCACCAAGAACATGAGATCATATGGTGATTTTGTGACATATGGATATATGGCAGTGTGTCAAAACCTGGTACCCCTAGTGAACATCAAAATAGCTGGTAAATGGATGTTCATCCCACTAAAAATGGTATTAATAGGTATTGATCCATACCCATATATATATATTATATAATCCTTGTTGCAATTTCCTCTCCAGAATCGAGGGGGCTGGCACCCCAAAAACCTTCGATTCTGGAGAGCCCTCCTGCACCCCTACTTTGCTACAAAAATCAAAGACCATGGGCTGGCAAGCACCCAAAAACAACCCATTTTTGACATTTTTGGACTGTATCTTGGTAGGTTCCTGATTCTGCAAATGGGGGCCCCAACAGTCAGCCGAAAGTGTACAAAACCTTACATTTTGGTCATGGAACTGATTTTGTAGAAATAAGGCTGGCGACACCCTAAGGTCTTTGATTTTCTAGTAAAGCATGCCCCTCAATGTCATATCTTCAGATCTTGATTATGTAGTGGTGAGAGATGGTAGGAGGGAATGACCTTGATTCTGTAAAGGATAGTTTCCCTGAAACCCTTTTTGCCCAACATGTAAAACTTGTAAAAATTGTAAACACATTCATGCTACAAAATCAAAGACAAAAAATATCTCTACAGAATCGACTCTAACACAAATCTCTACAGAATCATCCTGGAGGCTTTTACCCCCAAAAAAATAGCAACATGTATTTTTTGATGCTTTCACATGTGAGGATATTGATTTTGTAGAAAACATGAATTTTCTTATCAGTTTTTTTTTTTCTGTGGAAGGTTCTTGATTTTGTAGAAGGTAACATCCTAGTTTGGAGAGCAGACATTGATTTAGTAAAGTTTTTTTTGGTGCCTGACCTTGGGGCCTTCTACTGAATCAAGGGTCCAGCACCTCCCACCTAATTGCAAGGGGTATTTATATATATATATATGTATGGGAATAGGGTGATTCAAACAGCAGAACTGGGGTCATCTCGGATAATCCAGGAAAACATTGTGATTTCAATAACAACAAATTGGGTGGTAACGACGTAACGATGGTGATTTGGGATGAATTTAGCGACATCCAGGGCCGACACTTCACCATCAAAGATTTCGGAGGATCTTTCTACATTTGCCGAGACTGGCATTATCTTGGTGTCAATTTTTCCCCTGTGACATCGGTATTTGGAATCATATATCACGTGGATGTTGGTCTTGTTTTGAGAGCCAGTACCATGGACAACACTGGCGCGAAAATATTGTGGATATCAGATGATATCAGATGATATCAGATGCTGCTGCTACATGATTTTACCACTGAAAGCTGGAATCGTGACCAAAATCATAGCTGGAACACCCCATATGCCGTAGTGTACATGCTTGGTGAAACTTACTTGGCCAAGTTGATTCCGCAACAACGTTTTCAACCACGAAGCTAGCCAACCACCAAACATCAACTAAGCATTGCCCACCGGCTGGTGGTTTCAAACATGGTGCTGAGACCCAATGTCTTGAAAAGTCATTAAAGGTTTTCAAAGTCACCGGCCAGTATCAATGAACACAAAATGAACTAAAAACCATTAAAAAAAATAAACAAAAACATATAATAACTTATATGTAATTATACCCATATAGTACTTCTACAACTTATCATGTGTTGCTAGATGAAACCAAGTCACTATATGGACATCTCATCAACCCATCGAACCTCCTGGCTGAGACCTTTACTGCAACCACCACATCCAGCACCACTTCGCTGACGACCACCGTCACGGTTCTGGTGCGTTGCACTGATGGCATTCCCTCGGGCGTCGGGGTGAATGCCACAGACTGCTTCGAGCTGCTCCTGGGACATCGATGGGCGGCGTAAGATGGGTTTGTGAAAGACAGTTTCGAAAAAGGAACATGCGTATATATATATATACATATGCATGTGTATATATATATATATGCATATACAAGTAAGAGATAGATAGATAGATATTATATATATATATGTCTATCTATCTATATATATATATATGTGTGTGTGTGTGTTTAGACCGAGAACTCCACAGCTCTATTTTGTTAAATGTTTAGAGATATTTGGAGGGTTTTCCATTTGGAGAGAGAGAGAGAGAGAGAAAATCCAACCAACATGATAGTTCAACCAGCACAAAATGCGGCTTGGATTGGGGTTGAGGCACGATTTTTCAAGACTCCATAAAAACATATAAACATTCAAACAAATACTGTATCCATTTTGGTCAGTTTGTTTGTCCAAACCCATGGGCCCAAAGATGCCCTCCTTTGATCCTCAAAGGTACAACGGACAGAGCTGCAATGCCACATGCGTGGCACCGTTCGAGGGAGGGCCCATTGAGTATGTCTGTAGCTTGGCAGTGAAACCACACCGCCAAACAGTGGAGGCTTCACAAATCAGGAGTATATGATGATAGTATGTGTATATTAAAATAAAAGCTAAGCTAAGATTTTATGTGTGTTAAAGCTTTTAAAGCCTTAAGAACTAGCAGAGATCATCCTGGATGCTACCCCTTTCAAGGCGATCCCTCGACGGCATCTCTGACGGGGCCTGAACTCACGTGCAAACTCAAGGAGTGCGAGGCGGGACATGTGTAGAAATCAAACTTGTTTCAGAATGTGTATATTGGTTTTATATATACATGTAGTATTAGATGTTTGTATTTGCAAATGCAAGTTTTTTTACCTATACATATTTATATGAATATTATTAATATTATTATTATCATATATGTATGCATTTATTAGCTCATTTATTCACTGATTGTATCCACAGTTTTTAACACCTGGATCAATGCCGACCTATTTTCGCGAGGTCTTGAGATAGCCAAAATCGGAGGGACCATGAGGGCCCAACATCCAAAATCAAGGTCGATTGATTTCCAAGTAATGCGTATAGCTCCAACAGTTGGGTAACCTGGTAACCTGATGTACCTGGAAGTTGGAAATAGTTGGGTCTTGGGACCGGTCCTTCGCCATCAGTTTCATTTTTTCCAGAGTCTGACATCGTCTGAGATCTTATGTTCTTGCACTGGTCAATGTGTTGTTCTTTGTTTCTTTTGCGTGTGTTTCACATTTGTTTTACATGGTTTATTGATTTCCATCATCAGCTTCATCAGCCATCAACCATCAAATTTCAGGTCTCCCAGCTGCCCAGCAATTTGAGCACGGACGATTGCGTGACTCGTCTGAAATTGGTACCGATGTTCGTTGCTTGAGATTTGTTTTTGCTCATGGAAAATCATGGGAAACCACGGAATATGATCTTCCCAACTCATTTTTCTTTCAGTTTTTTTTTGTTGAGTCTTTTGTATGGGTGGCAGATCCAGAATCCCTGCTGACCCTTTCAGCATGGAAGTTTTCTGGTTGACAACCATCCAGTCAGTTGACAATTTTGTTTTTGTATGTTTTTGTTTGTGTCATGCTTCTTCTTTTACACGTGCCCCTGCTTCCTGAAAATAAAGCAGTGTGTGGCCGGGTTTTGAAACACGTATATATATAAATTATATATATATATACACAAAACTATATATATACATACACGTACGTCATTTATATATATATATATTCATATTCTTGTATTATAGATGGTCACCCCTTATATATATAGATATGTGTGTGAATAAATATGTATATCTGCGTGTGGACCCGATGCAGGGAGAGTATGTGTATATAATTATATATATATATGCATATGCATATGGACGCGATGCGGAGAGAGTATACATTCACACACACATGAAATTATTAATATATAATATAACTAATTCATATATATATATTGGAACCTTGCCGTTTTAGGTACGGAAGCATGTAGAAGTGGAGGTGAACAAAATTGGTGTCGCGTCAAAAGCACGCACCCCAAGGAAGTCAAAGAAAATATGCAAATATCCGCGAATTCCCCCCAGTAAAGTATGTATATATATATATATAGATTTGGCATGATTTGGCTGATGGCCCAAATCGCGTGGGCTGCAGACATCCGCTATCCGCTTTTTTGTTTCCAGTTATCATGGCTGCTGCTCACAATATCGGTCTGGAAATGAGGTCGGGAAGGTGGTTGGAGAGTTCTGCAGCTTGGCTTGTGAAGCTTTCCAGTTGCCACCCGGTATTTTCATGTATTTCCTTTGGGTTGCAAACGGTTGCAAGATGTTTGCCGTGGGACCAACGAACTAGCTGGAACTAGCATATGAACTAGCTGGGGCCCATCACCGTAGAGTGGTGTAGGTCAGACGTCCATGTGAAAGAGGCGAAAAAATAGCATGAGGATGCCCTGTGTTTTTTTTGTTTCTGAATTGGTCAACTTGTCAACCTTTGGGGAAGGTAAAAAAGTGGTTGGTATTGGTTGAGTAGGGTTATCAGCGATGCCCCTTGGAAATCCCACAAAACATGGGCCTGGTTTCCAGGATGTTGCAGGTAAACCCCCGGTTTGGTCGATGCAACCCCTATTCGTGCCAGACTACACCTGCGACGCAGGCACTTTGTCTTGCCCCCTGGGCTATACCGGGCAGGCAGGGCAGGTATAAACATGTATAAACCATTGGCTGCCCAAAGTTCTAGAATTTTCCCAGCTCATTTCAGATCCTAAAATGTTCCAAAATGACGAGCCATTTGATGAGGATCTTAGCTGAATCATATGTTTTTGGGCGGATTACCCAACCAGCAACAGACCTCGATAGTTTCGAACAACCTCGTGGCTGCCCCATAAATGGGTGTGTGTATATATATATATATGTCAAAGGGAACTGAACACTAGGACACTTGTGATGTACATGCTTAATTGTATATCTGGACGCCGTACTGGCTCAAGTCCGTGTGCGAGGAAAAGGGTCCGAGCTGCGCTTGCCATGCCTCATCAGTGTCCGGCAATACTAGCATAACAGGTACCGCAATTGATAACTACATCCAGAACAAGGATTCATTTGTTCACAGGTTATCAGCCGTAGGGCTCACTTCTCCCGCCGGGAGAGTGGTACCTGCGTGCTGGTAGCCGGGCCTTCTGAGCAATTGATTGAGGACGCAAAGGACCAATCAGCTCACCATCGCAAAGATGCAAGGCGGCAGCGGAGATTCGCGCACCACGCAGTTTACCTTCAATGAGAACGCTGCTATGCCGGTCGAGGAGGTCAATCAATCTTCCCCTGGCGACACGGCAGACAGTGGCGGGATACGCTCTACCCGAACTACACAGTCCGGATGGCAAGTCACATCAAACAGACGAAGAATATCCACCCAAAGTACACCTAGATCTTCTCGAAACAGTGCTCGGAGTGATGTTGTCCGCCAAGGGCATCGACCATCTCGAGGACGTACTACTCCAAGGGACAGATCCACCAGGGCCGTAACCGACCGAATTGGTGAGAGGACCGGGGATAGTCGTGTTAAGAGGAGATCGACGGATACTTCTGTGGCTAGTGAACCTATTGCCATGATAGAAGAACTACGGGCACAATGTCAATCCCTACGTAATCAGCTGAACAACATGGAAGCATACGCTGCATCCAGGGATCAACTGACTCATGACATCGAGATCAGGTTCACTGAGTATCTTCGGGAACACAATCAGAATGTATTTGATGAGGTCAATGCACTCAATCATAGATTGTCATGTTCCGCAAATGAGGTTGCAGAATATCAAGCAGAACTAATGGTAGCATCTCAGGAAGATGAAGGTGCAACAATACGCATCCAAGACCTTGAACGCCGAGGTGCCCTAATGGAACATGGTGCACGACGGATCCATCAACGTGGTATGGAGATCCAGGAGGAGTACAAGGATGAAGTACATCACCTTCAAGGACTACTGGGTAATACGGAGGCAAGACTACAACAACCTCATCAAACCAATGTCTTAACCACCGATATTGCCAATCGACTATACAATGAAGGTCAAGAAATGCAAAATGATTTCCAGAACTCAATCATGGAATATCGTAATCGATCTGAAATGGCATCCTCCTCTAGTAATCAACTTGAAGTGATTAGCCAGCAACAATCAATTGCAGTTCATGAATTATCTGAGCGAAATCAGCTATTGAGTGAAGCCTTGGTTCAGTCTCGTAAACAGGCCGAGCTGTATGAGAGCAGTATTGATGAGATCACTAGAGAGTCTAGGAAGAAGGTGTTCGAGGCAAATCAGGCCAAATTGGAAAGTGATCTGAAGCATCGAAACACTGAACATGATACCGTCAAAAGAATTGCATCATACAGGAACCAAGAGGCCGAAGCAATATCTCACCTGAGGCTTGAATCACAGGCTAGTGCAAACTCGATCGCAAGGGCAGAGCACTATGAAGAGCTCTATGCCAACGAGCAGAAGATGAACTGCGAATTGAAGGATGAGATCAAGTTGCAGAACACGAAGTTACGAAGATCGTTGACTCAGGGTTCTACGACCGACGGTCGTGGCCCCGAAGAGATGCTTGTTGAAGATCTACGTAATCAAGCTAAGATCGCTCAAATCAGGGTTCAGGATCTAGATCATGAAGTTCATGAATGCTTACAAGAGAACTTGTTGTTAAAAGAAAGGTTGGCTGAAGTTGCGGATGTAGGGGCGTCGTCCCTCACCAATGCTGAGGTCCGAACTCTAAGATCTGAACTAGAGAGTGAGCGAAAATTAAAATTGGCGAGTGGTGTTCAACAATATGAGAGATCATGCATGTTCATGGGGGAAATCCAGGATAGGGATGAAAAGATTGGCATCAAGAATTCTGAGATTGTTGACATGAAACGTCACTTAGATGAACTGAGAAAGAGTCTCAAGGATTCTGAAACATCTATGGCTAGGATCAGTCCTGACACACTTCCCTATTCGGCAGGCATTCCCAACTCCGATCTCGCATCCAGACTGGTCATCGACAAACTGGAGAATGACGTGAGTGAGGCTAACTGTGAAAACGCTATTCTGAAATCTTGGGTTTCGCAGATCGACAAGGAGTTGACTTATGAGACAAATGTGGCTCATTCCTATCGTGGGCATGCTGTACCTCCTCAACAACCACAGCATTCTCAATCAAGCAAAAGAATCGCTGATCTACTGAAAGAGGTTGACAACAAGATCGCTGGCGGAACTGAGAGGGAATACTACAGGCCACCGAGTGGATGGGGCGGTCCGCCTGACCCTGATGGACCTCCGGACCCTTTTGGGCCTAACGGTCCAGGACCACCTCCTGAACCTCCTGGTTTGCCATCGGTTCGAGGATCACAACGCGATTCAGCAGATGATGTCTCCACAGCGGCTTACACTGCGGAAGAAGTACCAAGAATGTCAAGACGAGAGGCTGACAAAGTCTATGTTAGCCCATGGCCAAAGCAACAGAATCTTGGGGTTTGGCAATCAGATCTCATCAAGAGTGTTGTTCTTTCGGCAAATGACGGGGATAAAGCCGCATGGGAGGCATGGCTACAGCCGGCTATTCGACCAAATCCTGACATCGAGCTGTTGAATGACAGTGGGGGGCAACGGTATCAGTCCATCGACGCCAAGTTGTCAATTGCATTGTCAAACGTGATAGCCCAAGCCGGTGATGTTGCTCGTCATGTAGCGATCAAATTGAGATTGAGAACACAAAGTCATAGCCGAAGAGGAACCTATGTCATGGGACGGGAAATCTTGGCTTTGATTCTGGAGCACTTCAGAACCCCAGGTCAACGAGAAACATCCTTCACCATGGAGCACATCGTATCGATGAAGTATCTCGGTGACTCGAACCTAGAAGTGTTCTACGAGAAATGGATGGAGATGGTATCAAACATGATGCCGGATGACGTACCTCCTGATGATTGGCTTCGTGACGCTCTATACAAGAAGATTCGAAATTCGAGTCTTATGATGTTTGACATCAAGCAGTACGAGTCATGGATGGAAGGAGACCAAAGACGAAATTATCGCTACCTGTTGGATGTCATCGAAAGGCACATCTCCAGAATCAGAGAGGACAAGCATGTGGCAGCCAGAGAGAAGTATGCGAGAGACTTTGCAGGCGGCGGCAAACCTTCAGCTCCTGCTCCGAACCCAACTGCTGCTGCACCGGATGCAAATCCAAAAGCGAAGCCTAAAGCTACTCCCAAGGAGAAGGCAGCGCCCAAGGCGAAGGCCAAGGCCGATGCAGCTCCAGTTCTACCATCACCTCAGCCTAAACAGCATGCAAAAGGAAAAGGAAAAGGTCAAGGGAAAGGGAAGGATCGAGCAAACGGCCGAAGTACCAGCCCCAGATCCAAGAAGAAGATCCCATGCCATTTCCATTTCATCAAGAAAGCATGCAGAAAAGGCAAGGATTGTGAATACAGTCACGACCAAAAGGTATTTGATGCGAACAAGAATGCAAAAGGCAACGGTCGGAAGCCAGGAACTCCAAGAAGTCAGTCTCCGGCAAACAAGACCAAGAAGATTGATGAACCATGCTGGCATTGGGCTAAGGGCAAGTGTCGGTATGGAGACAAATGCAACAAACGCCACGATCCTCATCTATTCAACACTGCTCCAAACACTGAAGCACCAAGCTCAAAGGCTACTCCTGCACTTATCCATGATTGGAGTGATGATGAAGGGACGTTCCATAAGGTTGCATCGAACGTGATCAAGAAGAAGATCAGATTTGATGAGTCTAAAACTCAAGTTCAAACTTACGTGAAGAAGGACTTCGTGAAGTGCAGCCGGAAATCCCAAACCATCCCCAAAGGTCATGGTAAAGTTGGCAAGCCCACTGATCAGATAAGGAAAGATGAGCAATGGTCTTATTCATGCAGGTTAGCTTCGAGCCGAGGGAAAGCAATGGCTATTCTGATCGATGAGAAGGGTGAACACAGTGACATTGATGAAGTCCTGGTCATAGTCGGCCCTAGCATGGACATCCTGATCAGACTCGACGTCGAGGACGGTGAGGTGTCCAGGGAAGTATTTGTGGAAAACTATGTTCAGCATATTGAAGGTCGATATGGTAAAAGGGGCAACACAATGTGTATCACTGTTCCTGTTGAAGAGAGAGATAAGAGATTCATATTGGATTCTGGAAGTGGCCATGATCTCATTTCATCCACACGGATAAGTAGAATGGATCTCCCAACATACGATGACAAGGTCGTCAACTTCCATACAGCAAATGGGGTAACGTGTTCGACCAAACGTTCAAGCATCAAGTTCGAGGCATTTAGCGAACCAGCAGAAGCTCACATCTTGGAGGACACACCCTCCGTGCTCTCCATGGGAAAGCGATGCGTTGATCTTGGTTACTCTTTTGTATGGCCGACCGGAAGAACTCCATTCATGTTGGATCCAAATGGCAACTTCATCGAGATGACTGTTAAAGACTATATTCCCTATGTGAGCGTCGATCAAGAAAAGATCAAGTTGAAATCATCTTGTGTGGAGAAGATCATGGCAATTCTTGATGATGGATGCTCAACATCGGAAGGTGAAGGTCTTTTGGTCATAGATGGAGAAAGTGGGGATGAACTTGAAGATCTTTCCGACTCCGTTGGACGATCCAATGTTAAATCACCCAAGAGATCA